ACTCCTTTTACATGAGGAAAGGAAAACCAAATATCAACACTTTTTAAAAACTAACCTTGCACACAGATGTTTTTCACTTGGCAGTTATCGCACAGAACAGTGAAGACTTGACTGGTCTTTTCAACAGAAAGTGGGAAGAAAACCACCTTGAACATAAATATTGAAGACAGTTGAAGAACATAAAGTTGAAAGAATGTTGATTCCAGTTTAACTCATTCACCTCAACAACAATGGCCTCTCCCGGCTGAAGAGAGAAGAGTGACGGGCTGACAGCAAAAGGCGGCTGCTCAGCGAACACAGTTTTGGACACAGACTGGATGTTCAAACATAAAACCCCACAATGATGCAAAGAATAAATGACTATCTTTGACTTCTTTTATCAACAAAAGGATTGTTGATTCAGTAACATTGGATTGGAAGTTGAAATTGAGGAAGTTAAGAACATGGATTAAAGCTCACCCTTAAGCTAGAGGCAGGCCACTGGTGTTTAGGAATTATGCAGAAGGTTCCAGAACTCAGACCAACATTTTGGCATAAAAATTCAACAAATTTAACACCTCCAACCAAACAATAGCCACAGTCCAGAACTCTTGGTACTGCAGAAAATTTGTCGCACACAAAATGAAGAAAAGCATGACTTATTTTCATTTAGTGGTTATGGTTGAGAGATGTATAATTAGGTTACTTGCATGTTAAGACTGGAGGCGGTCGTCGGGCCTCAATTGGGACCACGAGCAAATTTTCAGACTGGGTTTCCACCACGATGAAATCCTGGAAATGTGTCAGCGAATCTGGGGCAAAGCGAACCGTATACTTACAGCTCATGCCCGGAGCCACAATGCCACCTTCACCCGGGAATCTCCCTAAGAAGCATACAGAATATCTATCAGTTTTTTGAATATTTATATTACTCAAAGAATTATTTCAAACCCTACCAAGACCAATCGAAAAATATGCAGTGGTTGGAGGAATGACACGGACATGGCGGCTGGCAGAAGATATATTTCTCAACTCCAGTGTTGCCTGATCCAAAGGAGCATTTTGATTTAGAAGGAATAAAGCTGTGTATGCTTTACTGATAGGTTTTCATATACCTCATACACTTGTCCAACAGTATAGTCAACAAAAAACAGCACTGGGGGGTTTGCCTGGAAAACTTGAAAATGATCTTCACTGCAATATAAACATTTCATTGCATCTCGTGAAATCAGGTATAAAAACATGCTTCCTGTGGCCTACTCGTCATAATAACATGGTAATAAATATGTAAAGTAGCTTGTCTAAGTTAAGACCATGTGAGGATAAAAAATTGTTGTTGTTTTTATGATGGTTGTGATCTGCAGATGCATTTAAATTCTTAAATGGTACAGTGTACATTAATGAACATTAGGTGCTAATAGTCCCATAGGGCAGCGGATATAAAATTACATACAGTATTTGAATTATTCAGGCTCAAAACCATTCCATTATGGTGAATCACATATGAAATACATAAATAAAACATGAACCTTTTGCTTGAAGTTTTTCTTCCTGATCCTGTCTCTAAATTTACAGAAGGCAGAGTGGTTTGGGCATTTGGGGAAAGGAACCGTGGATTTCGTAGAAAGTTTTGTCGATGTTTCATTTTCCTGAGAGTGTCTTGTCCGTCAGCCAAATCTGTGGCACTTGGTTCACCTTTCCATTTTGGTTTGGGTTTGTTCATTTTTGTCCCCTAAAATATAACGTTATCAAAAATAAATCCAACATCTACAATTAAAGCGACTGCGTGTTGTAAAGATTCACCTCGTAGCACGGTGTCTTTTTGTTCTTGACTTCATCTGAACTTGGATCCACTGTAATGCTGAAATCTGATTTGAAGGGACTGTCTACAGATGGAGGGAATGTGTAAGCATGGTCTTGTGGCTCCCGAGAAGTGTGCATAGCATAGGACACCGTTGCTTTTGTAGGATCAGATTTGACTGACAACAAAGAACATATTAGTTATTAAAGTTTTAATCTCTTTTAAGATGCCTTTCATTTACCTTTTTCTGAAGTTTTTAGTAATGGTTTATGTTTTGGAGCACTTAAGTAGTGCCAGGGATAAATAAGGTTGTTAATTTCAAGAAGGTCTTTGTCAACACATTGCGGAAATACTGATTGTACTAGGGAAAAAGACACAAAGAGGTTTACAATGTTCCTTGTTAGCAAGCATTTTAATTATGTGTTGTTACCTGTGATGCACGTGTTCTCATTAAACCCTTCCAAGAAGTTGTGTTTTATTTTCTCAAACTCTTTGCCTTCGATCTCTGCAGCCCTAGCTCGAGCCTCAATTATGTGACTTTCCAGAATATCTATTTCCTTTGCACTTTCATTATATTCTACATATGTCTATAAAACAAACACAAATCAGTATGAAACTAATGGCTACAGTAAAGTCTGTTATCCCACCTGTTGAAGCTCTTCCACATATTTATCATGGTAGCGGTTTCTTCCACTTTTTGACTTGATGAGGTTGTTTACCAAAGTGTTGTTTCCAATGATATCTTTGGTGTGAGTATCTTTGAAAACGCTTTCCAAAAAGTGAGAAATATCCTGAGGCAATGGAAGAGAGGAGTAAGGAGGTAAAAAGGCAACACGACACTGCAAGTATTTTGTACCTGAGACGTTTCAGACGACGGCATATGACGGTCCTTTGCCTCCTCCATCTGGACTCGCTTCCACGGACGTCACCTTACAGACATAAACTAGCATTAGCATGACATGTTTTAGTTGATTTAGCAAGATCACAACAATAGAATAAAAAAAAGCTGTGATACATATATTTCTTGCATAACCCTGAAATGGTGGGAAAATCCTTTCACTGATTCACTTAGCTAGCTACTTATTATTAGCACCATTAGCACACAGCTGTGGAGCGCGTGTGTACTTTGGTTACCCTAGCAACCATCGGGGACGGGCGCAGGCGCAGTTGAAGGATTCGCTCCTAACATAATACGTTTTTTTTATTATTCATTATTTGTATGTTTCGTTTTAGACAGAATGAGTACAAAATTCCTATCAATACCCTAAAACCCTCGAGGCAAAGTGAGTATTTACTCACTTTTGTTTGCCTGTCACTTGTATAGCTGTATTCTAGTATAGCTCTAAATCACAACAATATGCCACTATAGCTGGAACATTATACTTGCACAGTGATAATTCAGTATGTTGAGTGAGAGTTTTACTGTGTCTTAATTGGGGATTTCACTGAGCACCTCCAGATTACTTTTTTATTTGTAGTGAAATTCCTTCCAAAGGTGGAGACTACTCAGTGGCATGAGCTGAATAAACCCATGACAACACACAGTGGCGTACTTGTCAGACCGGTGGAGTGGAGCAGTGGGTGTGTGCTGAGGGTGCTGAGGGTGACTACAGGGAACTTGTGTGACTCTTTCAGTCTGATGTCAGCCTCTACAGGGCTCAGTCTTGATTTTTACCACACTTAAACAAGAGGGAATCCATATTTTTCACATTATAAAATTGGTGGTTGACTCAGAGGAATACAGGATGGCAAAAAATGGAACCCCACTCAACAACAGTAAGTAACTTAAGATAACCAGTGTCTAGCATGAAAATATGGCTCTCAAAGCAATACATGGTTTTCAAAAGTACTATTACAAAAATGATGCCAATTTTATCATGTTTTTATTTAGAATTTTTAAAATATCAAAAGTGGGACTTGCACAAGTCTTACATAGACGTTGTAGTTAATAGTTTGTGGAACCTTCTTTTGCTTCAATCACAGAAATCTACAAGCTTTGTACATCTAATGAAAGCTTTTTCCAATCGTACTTACAATTCAAGTCAGATGGAGATGGTTTATAAACGGCAGTTGTCAGGTCTTTTCAGGTTTCCTTGTTCGGCTTGTTTATCTGGGTGGATGCTTGTTTCCTGGTAAGTTTGCAGTGGTGTCATACTCTTTTCATTCCTGAATAATGGATTGGAATGATATGAGATCTCCAAAGCTTGAAAAGCTCCACTTAAAAAAATAAAATAAAATCATAAACTTTTCATTCACATATGTCTGTTTCTATGGTTGTGATCTAAAATCCTAAATAAAATCTTGAGTGTGACTGATGCAAAAATGTACAAAATCTAAATTTGTATTATTGCTTTTGTAAGCCACCATATTTCTTGATCCTCAAGCTAAATAGACCCATAGTAAAGAATGATCAATCGTTTTGCTGAGGCACATATTTGGAATTAAGGGGATGACAAAAATATATATTATAAAAATGATAATACATTTCATGATAAAAACTATAATATCACATCCTTGTTGTGACACCAGATAAATAGAAATAGATGTATTTATATCTACATGAAAGGTCTACTGCAAAGGTAAGGGAAAAGGGAAAGGAAGAAAACAAAGTCGGTTGACGGTCTTCAATATCACACTGAAAAGTCCTTGTGTTGTACAAGTGTCCACATGGTGCTGATGCTTGTTAAAGTGTCCACATGGTGCTGATGGTTGCACAGGTGTCCACATGGTGCTGATGCTTGCACAGGTGTCCCCATGGTGCTGATGCTTGTACAGGTGTCCACATGGTGCCGATGCTTGCACAGGTGTCCACATGGTGCTGATGCTTATACAGGTGTCCACATGGTGTCGATGCTTGTACAGGTGTCCATATAGTGCTGATGCTTGTAGAAGTGTCCACATGGGACTGATGCTTGTACAGGTGTCCACATAGTGCTGATGCTTGCACTGGTGTCCACATGGTACAGATGCTTACAGAAGTGTCCACATGGTACTGATGGGGCTGATACCTGGTGACCACATCCTGCCCACAGACTTCCTGGCGTACATGGCGCACACAGAGGAGGAGGCTGCAGGTGACGCCAGCAGAGTGTGCCCTTCTCACATCTGCAACAGCAGCGCACTGTAGCCCCGCCCCTCTGCACTCCTCTGTTATTATCTGCTACTTACACAGAACTCCACCTTTAAATCTGGCTTCATGTTTTAACTACGACAAAGACAAATGTCGTGTATACGCAAAAGCCCAAAGAGAAGCCAGTCAGAGGAACAAGCTTTCCAGGAGCACGTGAGAAAAGTAGCGCAGGAGAATGGGAGACGGCTCGGTAAGTCCCGGGGGCCGGTGAGGGACGAGCTGGGACTGGTTCAACAGGTACACGCAGGCACAGGAACTTCTCAAAGCAAACCGAGAAAAGTAAAGCAGAAATAATCACTTTTAGGCTCTCTGCTTTCATGTGCTAGAATTGTTCTAACTCACTCATGTTGTAAGTTTCTCCAAAGGAAAGTTTTGGAAACTTCATGTCAAGGATATAAAACTTCATCTGTAGCAAACGTCGCTGAGCTGTCCAGTTGTGCATCTGAAACATATTAAAACATAAAAAAAGGATTCTCGGGAACAGCTCAAATCATGACTCACAGTCAGGAGGAACATATTTGTGGCTATGTCCCCTTTTTTGTTTATACTAGGCCTCGCTTGGTAAAAAAACAAACACTACTACAGTGCATAATAGTAGTAGTACTAATTACAATGTTGTTGTACAATTATTACTATTGCAAGAAATATCAATAATCAAATAAACTACTCCAGGGGTAGAACCCAAATGCTACGGTTTGGGATAAAAAAATGTCTGCTATGTTGTGGTTCTGCCCACATTCCCAAACAAAGTCTTCAGAGAAAAGCAGACAACTGTTTGTGCTACGGCGATGGTCCCAATTCACTGATTTGAATATGATACATTCATAAAACTCAAGAGGGACAAATGTTGATGATATTCAGGGCTACACCTCTTCTAATCCCATAATCTCCACCTGTGTGCTTGCAACATGATCCTGACACAACACTGCATCTGTTTTGATCTCTCTCTAGGTTTAGAGGGGGATCCTGATCTACAGTTCCTTCTCTCTGGAGGGACCCTTGTGAAGATCCGTTCACACTCGTGGCAAAAGACCCGCTTCTACAAACTCAATGAAGACTGTAAGACTGTGTGGCATGATTCTCGGAGAAGATTCAGGCAAAGCCACACCTGTGAGTATCGTTTATACAGGATTCTCACCCATCATCTGTACATCTTAGCAGGTTTTCTCAACGTTTTGTCCTTAATCGACTGAGAGCTTACACAAACATTTACTCTTGAATCGGGAGAGGATTCTCTGTTTGCACTTCAGTTTGATAGGGTTAATAGATTTTGAATGTGGGTCCAGATCAAAGAGTAGCTTTATTCTATATTTCACTATCTCCACTCGAGCAAAACAATTAAGCAAATCAATTGGAGTAATCATTTTAAAAAAAATTGTAATTACAATTCTTTGTCTTGATGAATCAATCCAATCCAATCCACTTTATTTATATAGCACATTTAAACAACAAAACGTTTCCAAAGTGCTGAACAACAATAACAATAAAACAAAAACAATACAAATGAGCTCCACCAAATAAATAGAAATAAAACAATTTAAAAGACTGAATAGAAATAAAAACACATTAAAAACTACAAATAAAAATAAAATGCAATAAAATAGATAAAAAGACACAGGGGGACCACACAACTTACGCGGTGCTAAAAGCCAAAGAATAAAAGTGAGTCTTAAGACGGGATTTAAAACACTCCACGGTGGGGGCCGTACGGATGTGGAGGGGCAGAGCGTTCCACAGCTTAGGGCCGACAATGGAGAACGCTCTGTCCCCTCTGGTTTTACGGTTCGTCTTCAGAACCACGAGCTGGAGCTGGCCCTCAGACCTCAAAGCGCGAGAGGGCCGGTAAATTTGGATGAGGTCTGTAATATACTGAGGGGCCAGTCCATTCAAAGCTTTAAAAACAAACAATAAAATTTTAAAATCAATTCTAAAATTAACAGGGAGCCAGTGCAAGGACGCAAGGATTGGGGTAATATGTTCGCGTTTTTTGGTCCCTGTTAAGAGTCGTGCCGCAGCGTTCTGGACTAACTGCAAACGAGAAAGTGCTTTCTGGCTAATTCCCGAGTAAAGTGCGTTACAGTAGTCCAGACGGCTTGAAATAAAAGCGTGCACGACTTGCTCAAAAAGATTAAAAGATAAAAAGGGCTTAACTTTAGATAAAAGACGAAGATGATAAAAACCCGATTTTAAAACGCCATTAATCTGTTTATCAAATTTAAAATCACTGTCTATGGTGACGCCAAGGCTGGTGACCTTGGGATGCAAATAGTTTTGGAGTGATCCCAAGTCCGTGAGGTTACATCCAAATGTCATCACTTCTGTTTTTCCCTCGTTCAGTTTTAAAAAATTCTGGGCTAACCAAGCCTTGACGTCACCTAGACAGTCGAGCAGGGGTGTCAGGGGGCTGTGGTCATTCTTAGCAATGGGCATGTACATTTGACAGTCATCTGCATAAAAGTGGTAAGACATGCCATGTTTCTTAAAAATCTCTCCAAGTGGGAGGAGATATATTGCAAACAAAATGGGTCCCAGGATAGATCCCTGGGGGACTCCACAGAATCAGATCATTTAAAATCAGATCATTTAAAATATCAATCATATCAATATTCATCAATTACTCGTTAGTATGCCCGATTACTAAAATAATCGATAGCTGGAGCCCTATTCTCCACCAGTGTGAGATACAATTATCCTGAAAAGATTAAGATTAGGACATCTTTTATTCGTCACAAAGACTAAACGAACACAGTCTTTGCATTAGAATCTTGTATGATGGAATAATGTTTAGTGTGCCCCAGGTTATTATGCTGAAAAAAGCACAAGAGACCATAATCAAAATGATCTCTGGACAAATACGCTCTACTTTCTAGGTAATTGAAACCAGACGTTAATTTCTAACTGATAAAAGACCTATGCTCACATTGCCCTCACACAATAATCAAAACTCCGTCTGGAGAAGGATTCAGACAGATGACACACTTTCCACTTGTCTATAAAGTAAGAAAGTATTCTTCACTATTGTAGTCTCAATCTCAAATAACATTGAAAACAAGACAAAACGTTTGTGGTTCACATTCAAAGCAGCTGGTTATAAAAAGATTTGCATTGGATTCATCCATGTGAAGTATAGTAGAAGTACTGTATTTGCATTCAAAAAAAGGAAAAGTGAGATGCCATCAACAGTTTTAAAATCACTGAAAAACCCAGAAGTTCGCTCCCAAATGAAGTTTGACAGCAATATAATTAGGCTTTCTTTGATACATGTTTGATCTTGATTACTGTTGCATAAGAAGTTAATCATTGGATCACAAATAGCCACATGAAGAAATGTCCATATTACGTCTATTCACCAGGAGTGTTTTTGTCCCAAAGATATTCTTGGTCGACTAAAGCTGTATGTCTTGTTTCATACAGCACCTTGAGTTGTTTTGTGTAACCGAGCTATACAAAAAACTTTCATTGCTTAAAGACACGGCCAGTTGATGAACGAGGCCAAAACTACGTATTACAGGTTCAACTCGGAAAATTGTTCAAATTTTTCAAAAGTCTATTTACTTCTTTATTCAATTTACAATGTGGATCTAATATATTACAGAGTAGTTACACTCACAGTTAGATATGCCAAGCCTTTATTTGTCATAATGTTGAGAATCGGCTTATTACTTGTAAAAACCGGAAGCCATTATTATCAACATTACAACAAAGGCTTAGCACATGTCACTCTGCATGTAATGAGTCTATGTCATATATTGGTTTCACATTTTAAGTTGAATTACAATTTCCTTATAATTGGAGTTTCAGCTGTGTGTCCAGTATGTGATACTCACAAGACTCTAAGCATAACATCACAAATCCCTCTTAGTCAGTATATTGATTTAACATCTGAATTGAGAATGTAGCTGTTCTCCCATACCTTAGATTCCAACTTGAATAACATAATACAATAAAATAATAATGATAATAACGAAATAATCATCAATAGTGGACCAATTAATCAACAGACAAAGACTGAGGCTTACTGATCACACCACTGATCAGGTATTCAGTTATCCATGTCTCTATCATTATGTCGTTCTTACTCCGATAGTCTTATAAAGCTGCTTTTTAGTGACTTTTGCGAAGGGGCATGACGGCTGCCTGTGTGTAAGCAGGGCTCAGTTTATGGCCTCTCAGCTAAGCCCAGGGCCCATTGTCAGTCACTGAGGCTACTGTTGCCATTTACACATCATGTCATGCATGATTGTGCATGTTACGTTGTTGCCGACAGAACCGTCCAATGTATACTCAACACAAAGTCTGTTTGCTTTAGATTATTACAAATGTATTGTCACCTTTCGGCATCGAACAGACAGGTTGACAGCAAGAAAACGGCTATATTGGTAAAAATATCAAAACATGTTATGATAATTTAAATAATGGATATGATTAATTCAATTTGGATTAATATAATGTATCCAGTTGCATCTGCCTTTTTTTATTGTGTTTGCGAAGTTTAAAGGTGCCTAACTTTCACACCACAAAAGAATATGTAAGGAAATCTTTTAGTTCCTTTCTCTCAAAACAATCTGGTTTTATTATTAATATTAAGTATTTCAATACTTTCAATTGTCAAAAAAACAAACAGAATTTTATCCACAACATCCAATTTCCACTAAAACACATAAAATAAAACATTTGTATACGTTTAACGTACAATATTTTTTCAAAATTAATTTCAAACCTTTATGTGGGTTTTAGCACATTTATAACAGCTCCAGGTAACAACCTGGAGCTGAACGCCCAGAAGACAGTGGAGATGATTGTGGACTTCAGGAAGAGCACTGTCCCCCCGCCCCCACCCTCCGTGATGGACTCCCCCATCACCTCTGTGGAGTCCTTCCGTTTCCTGGGCACCACCATCACCCAGGACCTCAAGTGGGAGCCGACCATCAGCTCTCTCATCAAGAAGGCCCAGCAGAGGATGTACTTCCTGCGGCAGCTCAGGAAAGCCAAGCTGCCTGCACAGATGTTGGTGCAGTTCTACACGGCCATCATCGAGTCCATCCTCACCTCCTCCATCACCGTGTGGTTCGCTGGAGCCACAGTCAGGGACAAACAGAGACTACAGCGCATTGTGCGCTCTGCAGAGGAAGTGATCGGCCGCAGCCTTCCATCGCTGCAGGACCTGTACGTCGCCCGAGCTCGAGGCCGGGCTGGTCGTATCACAGCCGACCCCTCTCACCCTGCACATGGACTATTCCAACCACTCCCCTCAGGCAGGAGGCTGCGGTCCATCAGGACTAGAACCTCCCGCCACAAGAACAGTTTCTTCCCCTCTGCTGTTGGACTCTTGAACACTTCTTAACCTGTCCCCCCGCCCTTTATAAAGTCACTTTACTGCCCATCATACGTCACTTTACTTCACTGTACTGCTGTCACCTTACATTGTGTGCACCATGTGCACTTGTATATTGTAAATAGTAACTGTAACTCTATTTTAAATTTAAATTTATTCTTTAGAAGTGTTTTTTATTCTTATTTTTATTATCTCTTTTTGACTGTTGCACTGAGCCAAAGCAATTTCCAAGTCTGTGACCTCCCGTTACTTACGTTGGCAATAAAAATGATTCTGATTCTGATTCTGATTCTGATTTATCTTCTGACTATGACTCAGCCATAGATGATAGTTATAATGAAATACATGCAAAGTAATAAAAATGTTTGTGTTGTATTTTATCAGAGTGTAAAAGCCATGTCAAGAAAAGACAGCTGTGTTAAAGTGATAGTGTCTTTGTGTCTGGTGGGTAAAGTCTAAAGATAAACAATACTTTTCCTGTTGTTATCCACCACTAGTTGCATTATTTATTCTAAAACGTTTTCATGAATATCTTAATAACTGTTGAATACATATAGGCAATCTTTTAAAGGTCACATTTTTCAGCTTGTCTCATAACATGTCGTGTTTTGCTTGGAATGTTCTGGCCCTATTTAATTTGCAGTATGATTAGTATTATGCATTCAGTTGCATGAGCTAAAAATGCCTGGATTTGTGGAGACATCTGCTTTTCTTTATGGTGTTGGCTCAGTTTGAAGCTCGGGGCCAAACTTTTCAAACCACAAAGAAGTAACCTTGTAATAAAATCTTTAGTCATCATTAGTTCCTCTCAAAACACTTGGTTCCAACACTAGTTTTTACATGCATGTATTTTTGTCCTATGTCACATCAATAGATCAGATCAGAGTATTCTATAGTGACTCATAGGGCTCTTTCCTACAAGTAAGCATTAGATTTAAAAAAATTAGATTTTTTCACATCGCTTTTATAAGACTTTCTATTGAGACAAACCTTATTGAGAATTTATTTACGAAAAGTTAGGTACCCCAGCTTTAATATTTATAAGTGAAAAAACAGTCATTTCAACACAATTTCACCGTGCTTTTATTCTGATGAACATGTAAATATTACAGTCTCTTTGGATGACATCGACTCGGTGAGGATGGGCCGCCAGTCCGAAGGCTTAAACAAACACACGGAACACAGTGAAGAGGACGTGTGCTTCTCCATCATCTTCAAGGGCAAAAAGAAAAACCTGGACCTGATGGCAACGGATGCAGACCAGGCCAAAAAGTGGGTGAACGGCCTGGAGAAAGTCATGAGCAACCTGCACAACCTCAGCCGGGAAAAGAAGAAAGAGCAGTATCCTTTGTTTCAGCCCACTCCCAGTATCACATAACATTCTCTGTTGTCTCATATTGAATAGGAATGATGTGTGAGTGGTTTTGGCCTTTCCTTACATCTCCAATTCAGCTGGCTTATTAACTGCATGCGCAAAGCAGACAAGAACCAGGACAACAAGATGACGCTGAAAGAGCTGAAGCACTTTCTGAGGCAAATTAATGTGGAAGTGGATGACAGTTACGCTGCAGAACTGTTTAAGGTTTGTATTAACGAAGGAACAAAGCAACAGTATGGTCAGAGTTTTAGCATAATGAGCATAATGTTTGGGTCTTTTGGTGCATACTGTGCTCTTTTAGCCCTGTCACAACCGGTCTATTGCACAGTAGTCATTTGGAGATGCTGTGATGCTTATTTACTCAAAATATCATGTTCCTTTGATGAGCTGACTAGCATTTGGATTAGGAGTGTGACGATATATCGGTTTTTCGATATATCGCGATACTTTCTCCCGCGATCGATTATCAATATGCATTTGCCAAGTATCGATTTTTTATTTATTTGTTTAAATTTTTAATTTGTTTAAATTAATATCAATACTTGATATATGGCTACATTACACATCTCCATTCCATTTATCATGAAATAAAGTGTATTTTTTCACTTAACATTTTTCTTTTTTATGTATGCCATGTATTGGCATATGATATATAGCTGACCAATATATCATTAATCGTCATATCGTGATATAACCGTTATCGTAATATAATCTGTATCATGAGCTTTGTATCGCGTATCGTATCGTGAGGTACCCTTAGGTTCCCACCCCTAATTTTGATTAGAATGTTGTTGTTAAAACTTTTGATAAACAGTTCAGCGACTGGTAAATATATCTTCCATTTAACGTTGCAATCTAAATTTGCCTAGATCTGTGAAAACCTGATCCTGTCAGATCCCAGATGCTAAGCAGGGCAGGGCCTGGTTAGCATTTGCCACCGTGGGGAGGCTGAAGCTGTAAAATGCCAAAGTGTTGTTTTATCCTTAGACGCTTCACCCACATTGCCTATAGGAGTCTGGTGTGTGCATGAATGATGGGTGCTCTGAAGGGCCCAATAACTAAAATTGGCAGCATCGATTCCCTCAGTCTGCCCCAGGGCGGCTGTTGCTTGTAGTTCACACCACTGTATATGGAGTGAATGAATAATGCCATTTGAAGAGTCTTTGAGAGTCCTTTAGTCCTAAGTGCTATATGAAGCCACCGCATTATTATAATTCTTCGTTATTAATTGTATTTTTTTGAATTCAGCAATGTGACAAGTCCAATTCGGGCACTCTGGAAGACACAGAAATCAAGCACTTTTATGACTTGCTAACAATGCGGACAGAAGTGGACCAGATTTATGGAAAATACGCCCATACAGAGGGTCAAATAAGTGCCAAAGACCTGCTGAACTTTCTCCTGAATGAGCAAAGGGAGGAGGCCACTATGCAAGACGCTCTTAAACTCATTGACAAATATGAGTTGGACGAGACAGGTATGGATTTGCTACAATGTGTATTATGCATTATGAATTGAGTTTATATTCTTGGGGTCTTTTGTGTCCACTAGCCAAAGAGAAGAAGCACATGACCAAAGATGGCTTCCTGAGGTACATGAACCACGAAGAGGGCTCCATCCTTAACCCCAAACATAAAGGAGTTTATCAGGACATGAACCAGCCCCTAAACCATTACTACATCTCCTCATCTCATAACACATACCTGATGGAGGATCAACTCAAAGGGCCCAGCAGCACCGAAGCTTATATAAAGTAAGATTTATACTGTACAATAATAATTCTACATTTGCATTTGTTACTTAAAAGTATTGGTGTATATATGTATGTATGTGGTATATAGGTATATATATGTATGTATGTATGTGGTATATATGTACAAAGTATGTATGCACAGACGTATGTTAGATAAGATAAGATAACACTTTTTTGATCTCACAATGGAGAAATGTACATGTTACATTTGGCATAAGTAGGATCACTCAGGGTGTGCAAAAAGACGTATATGTACTGTATATATGCAATGTCAGTATTATTGCACAAGACATTAGTTCATGAAGGAAGGGGGAGGCGTTCTTAACTTTCTCGTTTCAGCCTACTCCTTTTGAGCTTGTACCGGAATGTGATATTGTAATTTGTAAAGTTGTGACAACATAAAACTCACATAAATTAAAAAAATATATCTGTTATTATAAAAGGGAAGCCCAATATGTTATTGTTAGTCCCATATGAACCAACTCGGACTCCGAGGAGCACAGAGAGGAGCAAATCCAGGTTAAAAACAGTTCTGTTTAGCTGTGCGTACAACTGAGGGATTATATACTTTTTATGTACTGTGATTATTTATGATTTTAGTGCCTTGTGTGACTGTCTTTATCTTATTCTGTTCAGCACTTCCAGTTGCTTTGTGTATGAATTGTGGTATACAAATAAACTTGCCTTGTCTTGCCAATATCCATGCGGAAATACAGTCACAAAATGACAGACATAATGAGAAAGATATCTATGTGTTTTTGTCAGAGCCTTGATGAAGAGTTGCCGCTGTGTGGAGCTGGACTGTTGGGACGGTGCTAACGGAGAGCCAGTCATTTACCACGGCTACACGCTCACGTCCAAAGTGCTCTTCAGAGATGTAATAAAAGCCATCAAAGAGTACGCCTTCAAAGTAAGACAGTGCTTTATTGTGTGGGTGCTGTAATAGTGCGTTCTCTTATGTGACTGTTGTGCTCTCCAGACCTCAGAATACCCTGTGATCCTGTCCCTAGAGAACCATTGCACGGTGGAGCAGCAGCGGCTCATGGCTCATCACATGGTCTCCATCTTGGGGGACGCGCTGCTCACGAAGCCCCTCGGCGATAAAATGCCTGCTAACTTCCCTTCGCCTGAGGTACACACCCTTGCTGAATACAAATGAAAGCCGCAAGGGGTCAAACATCCAACCGAGGACGGGCCACGCCTCATGAATTCCACATGTTGCATTAATTTCCTTGGATTTTCCTGTTTATTTTCTTTGCCTAGAACTGATGATGAAAATGGTTTTATTATCATGCTCAAAGGTTAATAGCAAAGATTTCTTAACCCTTTAATGTCCATTCCTTGAAGAAAGCATTGTAAATATGTCTATTTTTTTATAAGATGCAAGAGCACTAATAACACAAATAATTAGTCTTAAGTTTTTTTAAACCCCTAGTTTTTTTTTTTTATTATAGGTCTTTACCAAATGGTTGAGATGCAGTTTGATTGTAAAAGTATCTAAAAGTGAAAGAGATTTCACAATGAGGTAGATTTCAGTTCCAAGCATGTTTCAAGTAGATTTAGTGACTCAAAACTTGATCCACCAAAGGATTGAGGAAATCATTGCATTATTGAACAGGAAGAGAAACTTTCCCGTGCATAGGTTAAACATACGTGAACTTTCATCTTTAATATATCTAAAAATGAGTCATTGATAAGAATGTTGACTATGATCTCAGCCGTAGAGCCTGCAGTTGTGAGGCGTTTGGTGGCTTGCATTGTGTTGCTGCAGCACACTGGGTGGATGGGTTGTCTGTCACATAAAACAATTATAGCTTTGAATTACTCAAGACTTTCCATTCTGCCCTGACCGCAGGAGGGAGTGACCATCTTCAGACTGTGCCCAACTTGACAACAGCATTCCTCAATGTCCATTACGAATCAGTGTGTTCAAGGAGTGTGTTTGCGTGTGTGTGTGTTTGTGTGTCTGTAGGCGCTGAAGGGCAGGTTTCTGATCAAAGGGAAGCGCTTGAACAAACTGGACACAGTCTTCAGCAGTAACAGCACTGTGGACGAGGACACGGTGTCTGAGGAGGATGAGGCGGCAGAGGTCAAGGACAACGGACAAAAGGCAAAGTCCAAGGTCCGTCTGTCATACATAAATTACATGCATACACTATATAATGTCAGAATATGCAATATAGAACCACATGTGTCCACTGTCACCTTACTTAGTCACTTTGTCCAGACCCCTTTGCTGCTAACATGTACAGATGTAAACATCCATCCATCCATCCATTTTCTTCCGCTTCATCCGTTGCCGGGTCGCGGGGGCAGCAGTCTAAGCAGAGACGCCCAGACTTCCCTATCCACACACACCTCCTCCAGCTCGTCCGGGGGGACTCCAAGGCGTTCCCAGGCCAGCTGAGAGACATAGTCCCTCCAGCGTGTCCTGGGTCTTCCCCGGGGCCTCCTCCCGGTGGGACATGCCCGGAACACCTCCCCAGGGAGGCGTCCAGGAGGCATCCGGAACAGATGCCCGAGCCACCTCAACTGGTTCCTCTCGACGTGGAGTAGCAGCGGTTCTACTCCGAGCTCCTCCCGTGTGACTGAGCTCCTCACCCTATCTCTAAGGGAGCGCCCAGCCACTCTGCGGAGGAAGCTCATTTCGACCGCTTGTATCCGCGATCTCGTTCTTTCGGTCATTACCCAAAGCTCATGACCATAGGTGAGGGAGGGGACGAAGATTGACCGGTAAATTGAGAGCTTTGCCTTTCGGCTCAGCTCCCTCTTTACCACAACGGTCCGATACAGCAACCGCATCACTGCGCACGCTGCACCGATCCGCCTGTCAATCTCACGCTCCATCCTTCCCTCACTCGTGAACAAGACCCCGAGATACTTGAACTCCTCCACTTGAGGAAGGGCCTCTCCACCTACCCGGAGAGGGCAAGGCACCTTTTTCCGGTCGAGCACCATGGCCTCAGATTTGGAGGTGCTGATTCTCATCCCAGCCGCTTCACACTCGGCTGCAAACCGTCCCAGTGCATGTTGTAGGTCCTGGTTCGTTGGAGCCAACAGGACAACATCGTCTGCAAACAGCAGAGATGAAATCCTGTGGTCCCCGAACCGGACCCCCACCGACCCTTGGCTGCGCCTAGAAATTCTGTCCATGAATACAGTGAACAGAACCGGTGACAAAGGGCAGCCCTGGCGGAGGCCAACATGCACCGGGAACAGGTCTGACTTACTGCCGGCAATGCGCACGCAGCTCTGGCTCCGGTCATACAGGGACCGGACGGCCCTCAGCAGAGGACCCCAGACCCCGTACTCATGGAGGACCCCCCAAAGGACACCCCGGGGAACACGGTCGAACGCCTTCTCCAAATCCACAAAGCATAGAGAGGGACCACCACCCCGGTCTGCCACTCCATTGGCACCGCCCCCGATCGCCACGCGATGTTGCAGCGACGTGTCAGCCAAGACAGTCCTACAACATCCAGAGACTTTAGATAGTCAGGACGGATCTCATCCACTCCCGGCGCCTTGCCACCAAGGAGGCTGCCAACCACCTTGGTGACCTCTGCCAGGGTGACAGAAGTATCCGCCCCAACATCCTCAGCCTCTGCCTCCGGAGCGGAGGACGTGACGGGGGGATTGAGGAGAACCTCAAAGTATTCCTTCCACCGTCCGACAATATCCCCGGTCGAGGTCAGCAGCTCACCCCCCGCACCGTACACGGTGTTGGCAAAGAACTGCTTCCCCCTCCTGAGGCGCCGGACAGTTTGCCAGAATCTCTTCGAGGCCGACCGATAGTCATGCTCCATGGACTCTCCGAATTCCTCCCAGTCCCGGGTTTTTGCCTCTGCAACAGCCCGGGCCGCGGCACGCTTGGCCTGCCGGTACTGGACAGCTGCCTCAGGGCCCCCCGAACCATCATGGCTCATTAGGACTCCTTCTTCAGCCTGACGGCATCCCTTACTGCCGGTGTCCACCACCGGGTTCGGGGGTTGCCGCCGGGACCAGCACCAGAGACCTTGCGACCACAGCTACGAGCCGCCGCATCGGCGATAGAGGAAGAGAACATGGTCCACTCAGACTCAATATCCCCCTCCTCCGCCGGGACCTGGGAGAAGCTCTCCCGGAGGTGTGAGTTGAAAGTCCATCTGACAGGGGTCTCAGCGAGACGTTCCCAGCAGACCCTCACTACACGCTTGGGTCTGCCAGGTCTGACCGGCTTCTTCCTCTGCCAGCGGATCCAACTCACGACCAGGTGGTGATCGGTTGACAGCTCCGCCCCTCTCTTTACCCGAGTGTCCGAAACACGCGGCCGAAGGTCAGATGATACGACAACAAAGTCGATCATCGACCTCCGGCCTAGGGTGTCCTGGTGCCACGTGCACTGGTGGACACCCTTGTGCTCAAACATGGTGTTCGTGATGGACAAACCGTGACTAGCACAGAAGTCCAACAACTGAACACCACTCGGGTTCAGATCAGGGGGGCCGCTCTTCCCGATCACCCCTCTCCAAGTGTCACTGGCATTTCCCACATGGGCGTTAAAGTCCCCCAGGAGAATGACGGAGTCCCCGGGCGGTGCACCGTCCAGTACCCCTCCCAAGGACTCCAAGAAGGCCAACAGTGAGAGACTTGTCCCCCACCCGAAGGCGGAGGGACGCGACCCTCTCATTCACCGGGGAGAACTCCAACACGTGGCGGCTGAGATGGGGGGCAATGAGTATGGCCACCCCAGCTCGCCGCCTCTCCCCGCGAGAAACACCAGAAAAGTGGAGCGTCCAACCCCTCTCAAGGAGTTGGGTTCCAGAGCCCAAGCTGTGTGTGGAGGTGAGGCCGACTATCTCTAGTCAGTACCTCTCGACCTCCCCCACAAGCTCGGGCTCCTTCCCCCCCAGTGAGGTGACGTTCCACGTCCCAAGAGCCAGATGTTGGGTGTGCGGACTGGGTTGCCGAGGTCTCCGCCTTCGACTGCTGCCCAGTCCTCTCTGCACCGAGCCGCCACGGACCCCTCTGCGGGTGGTGGGCCCACAGGAGGGACTGCCCACGTCGTCCTTTCGGGCTGAGCCTGGCCGGGCCCCGTGGGCTAAGGCCCGGCCACCAGGCGCTCGCATTCGAGCCCCGACCCCAGGCCTGGCTCCAGGGTGGGGCCCCGGCTGCGCCATGCCGGGCGACGTCACGGTTCTTCTTTTCGTGCTGTCCATGTTGGCTTCTGACTGCTCTTCGTCTGACTCGTCACCTGAGACCTGTCTGCCATGGGAGACCCTACCAGGGGCATGAAGCCCCAGACAGCATAGCTCCCAGGATCATCCGAGTACTCAAACTCCCCCACCACGTTAAGGTGGCAGTCCAGGGGGGAGTGTTTTATACTTGGTTCTTCATTATGGTAAAGATAGAGACTTTATACTTGTCTATTTTTTTTTGTTTTATTTAAGCATAGAGTTATTGTTAATTTATCTTGTGTTGTGTGCTCCTCATTCCTACTGTTCTGTAATCGGTGATGCAACATTGAAATTTCCCAACAGTGAGAATAAAGGATCTCTTAAACTTCATATTCTAACATTCGACCATCTCTCATTGACAGAAATCCAAAATGAAATTGGCCAAGGAGCTCTCTGATGTGGTAATTTACTGCAAGAGCGTTCATTTCAATGGCTTTGAACACGCCAAGGACAATCAGGCCTTTTATGACATGTCCTCGTTAAAAGAGAGCAAAGCCTTCGGTCTGGCCCAAAACTCAGGTAACGTGAAGAGAAACAAAACATATGTTGCCTTGTTTCAAACAGAATGCATGCTTATTTAACATGTATACATACAGGGACTGCTTTTATGCATCACAACATGGACAAGTTGAGCAGGATTTACCCGGCTGGCTCCAGAACAGATTCATCCAACTACAGCCCTGTGCCCATGTGGAACGTGGGTTGCCAGATTGGTAAGCTCAGCGTAAAGCCTTAGAAATGTTATCATAGATCATTTGGGTTCTAAAGTGAGGAGTAAAAGTAAAATAATTATATAATTAATAATAATAATTAATTATGTATACTTTGTTCGTTTCAGTGGCATTAAATTTCCAGACGCCCTCTAAGGAGATGCACATAAATCAAGGAAGGTTTCTCCCGAATGGTTTTTGTGGCTATGTGTTAAAACCTGAATTTCAGAGAGATCCGTCTTCACAATTTGACCCCAACACACTCACAAACGGGCCCTGGTTGAAGAGGAAAACATTTCACGTCATGGTGTGCTATACAAAAAATAAACTGTATTAAAATATGTAGACTTTTATTTAATTGGGTGTATAATCCACAGATAATTTCTGGTCAGCAGTTGCCAAAGATCAACAAAGAAAAACACAAATCAATTGTTGATCCTTTGGTGAAAGTGGAAATCTACGGTGTTCCCGACGACAACGCGAGCAAAGAGACGCATCACATTGATAATAACGGTTTGTGTGATTCTAAAACCTATGCAATTATATCAGGGGTGTGGCTGCAGGTGTTCATTCCAACCAAGCAGGAACAACAACAGAGTCAACCCATTTCAGTGTGGGACTGAAGAAAATGGATGGATAGATGGATGGACTTGAGGAAATGGATGGAGACTCTCGCTTTGTAGTTCCGCCATGCTCCACCAGAGGCGTTTGGCTGAAGTGCAGCAAACTACATGGGTCTGGCGAGAGTCAGGCTTGTCCTCCTGCTTGGTTAGAATGAAAACCTGCAGCCACAGTGGTCCTGTCTGGAAACAGTTGGAATTATATATTCACAAAGAGCACAAAAGTAACCCGAAAGCTCCCTCCAGGATTCAACCCACAGTGGAATGAAACATTTCAGTTCGACATTCACGTTCCGGAGCTCGCCATGGTCCGTTTTCTGGTGGAAGATTACGACTCTACGTCCCAAAATGATATGGTGGGGCAGTACTGTCTCCCTCTGTCCAGTGTGCAGAATGGTAATGATATCTTAACAGAGCGTGGGGCAGAGGATGTGGCATTTGCTGACACTGTTTCCTTCTTTCCGTAGGATACCGTCATGTTCCATTACTCACCAAGAGAGGTGATGTCATCTGCTCCGCCGGCATCTTCGTTCATCTCATGCTCCTTGATGCTTAATTTTAGGCATCAACATATTGTCAAAGGTGGCAAAAAAACTAGTTTAGGTACTTAAGGGAAAGTACAGCAAATATAAAAATTGCGAGTTGTAAAAAATAACATGTATTTTGTTGAAAAGAAAGGACATTATATTTATACTTATGGCAAACAAAATATTTGGAACTTAAGCCGACTGGTCAGATGGTCTTAGGAGCGTGGCTAACCTCAGCAGCATGGCTATTCGTTTTAAACATGTTTTTATGTTGTGTCGACATTTGCAAAGTAACGCGTTGTTTTAAAATGTATTAATACATTATATGGGTTTGAATGTGAAGAGTAAAAGTCAAATCTTTTTCATAAAATATCAGGTACAAGTACATCAGTATAAATACTTAGTTACTTTCCAACGTTGCCTGCCTATTGTAAGACATCTTAATTCTGTATGTACAATGTATTTTTGTACAGCCCTGAATCACAACAGCAGTCGTCTCGGAGCACTTTACAAGTTGTCAAATCACCATCAATGAAATCTTGCAAAATTCCTTTTATGATCAAAAGGTACATTTAATATTTTCTGTGCTTTTGATCATGTGAAAATGTTTATTGTTAAACAGAAACCGACTCATTGTATAAAAGCATATGTAAATATTGTTTTGTATTGTCTTATCTTCTTTTGTTTCAGTCATAGTTAATATTAATCGACTTGTACTGGCCTGCAATAAAACCCACAACTTCCACATTTTAGAATATGTTTATTTAATAATAATTTATCATGAAATACCATGCAAAAACAATCAGTATTTTCAGTATAATATAAATCACTCCAAACAAAATATAGTGCAGTAAATGTGCTGAATATTCTGTATCACAAATAAAGTATTCTTCAAAAATAGAGATGATACAGTTGTTTTGTTTTTGGTTATTGTAAGTATTGTCCCTGTGTTCCATAGAAATTATGATAAATACTGGGTTACTTTTTGGTATTTCTGTAGCATTACTGTTTATGTCATAAAAAAACAGTTTTATGGTATCATATTTCTCAGAAAAGTCCTGCCTTTTTCTTCATGTCAGTTTGCCTCCATTTGGGCAGCCGCTGGAAGTCTGCTCGTGTTGTCCCAAACACACTCTCAAAATCCACATCAGATAGGAAGTCCTGGAATCACAACAAACCACAGAACTGTAATAAAATACGTGAATATATTACATCCACGCAAGAAACCCTAAAACACTGCCTCCTGGTGGCTGCATCGTGTAAATGCATATATCGCCCTCAGCGCACCTCTCTCAGGCTGGGGTCCACTCCGGATGGTAGCTCCTCCGCGGGTTTGTTGATAAGATGGTGGAGGTCTACGGTCTTTCTGCTGTCACTGGAGGCAACGAAAGGGGAGAAGGTGCTGGAGGTGCGATGGGGGCTGGTTGGAGAAGACTTGTAGGCCGGATGGGAGGTGACTGGACCCCCCGGAGCTCTGTATCCCCCATCACTAGGTCTCTTGTTTAGGCTGGTGTTGCTGAAGTCCTAAAGGGAGAGTTTAATCAATGCAGAAATCAAACTTTGTAGTTTCAGATTTATTTTTTCCCAACCAAACATTTTCAAGTTTATTATCAATGTGAGTAAAACAATATTAGTTAAGAAAAAAACATGTTAGTGTGAACTGGGGATTCATAGTTAGTATTAGGGCTGCACGATTCAATCAAATCGCAATTTTTGTAGTTGTAATAAATATTTATGCATTTAAGTTATTTGCAATCAAAAAAGGGTCAAACTATAAGTATAAATCTCTTGAATAATAGATGATGTGGTACTTGCTGGACCACAGGAGTAGTAGCCTGGATCGGGTGCTCTGGTCAGCCAAGGATCAACAAGATGTAAAGAACAATTTATTTAAAATAGATGGTGTTTCGACATGTCTATGGTTTCGACTCAGAGTCTTCGTCAGGGTATGTGTGACTCAAACTTCTTGATTTGGCAAAACTTTTCTTGATTCATGTATTTTTGAAAGATTTGTCATTGGTACAGGAAGCATTATTATTAATATTTTTGTAGATCTTTCTACTATTATTATTATTGTTATTATTAGACTTTTTCATATTTTATACAGGCCAAAACTGTCAAAATGTGTTGCGATCAAAGCAACATTTTTAATTGATATTTTTTGCACCAAACAAAATGATATACTGTAGTATAAGTCTAAAATGTGTTTGGGGTAATCGCTTAATATCATACGTACGCTTATTGAACTGTTTGAACCAAATTAGACTTTTTAAACATGCAGGATTCAGACAATTGCATCCAAAAGTTGGCCAGAAATGTCACAATGAGATATTTTGGCAAAATTGTGCAGCCCTAGTTGGTGTTATGCAATCACTTACTAAAGCAATCTGGGACACTGAAGTCTCATCACTCAACTTATTCCTCATCTGCTCATAGGTAGTGCCTCCCTGTTGAGAGGATCAAGTCAGCTTAGATTCAGTATTAGTATGGATTGAATAATTAAATGACTGATTATATTACACTGATTAAAGATTATAGATATGGACTTACACTCCACATCTGAGGATCCCATGCGTTGAACCATCCGGTGAATGTCAGAGGCTCACGTCCCTGTTTGACACAGTTAATGGGAGTGTCGGGGTCCCGGCCTGCAGGGTGGCTCCTGAGGTACTCCCGTGCGCTGTTCCAGGCCTCTTTGGTCTCATACTCATTGGCTAAATTTCCGATCCAAAGGAAGATCTGTAGAAGTTGTATTGAATAAACTATTGTACTTTCTACCCACTGGTGGGGCTGGTGCAGTAAGAGTAAGGTTGAAATACAATGATGCATTTAGACTTTTACTAAAAGTGCTAGCAGTTTGTTCAATATATAGTGTCACTGAATGCTGTGACCAGAAACTTTATCTGTAGTGACTCTGGAGGCATTGGAGAAACAGTCTGAAATTGAATGTCTGTGTGTTTTTTGTGTTATATATGGACTCTTTATGTGTCTGATTAAAGATTAGATAAAATGATGAATAAATACACTTTCAGATGATATGTTACTGATTACTGAAAACTGATTACTTTACTTTATTTGAGCTGTTTAAACAGTACATACAGGTACAAATCATAACTACAGTTGTATATACAATCAGAACTTAAAAAACACACTGTATAGAGCTCAAAAGGAGCAAGCAGAAGTAAGGAAATACTTATGAGTGCTTGCCCCTAGTTACACTTACCTCTTCCCAAATGTCAAGCAGCATAACGTCCTCTTCATCCAAGTCGCACTGTGCAAAGGCCTCCACCTCTGTCATCACAAAACGGCCTGTCTGATTGGAGCATTCAAAGAGTCTGGGGCTGTGTGGGGGCTCCTCCATCTGCAGACTATACAAAAACCATTCAGAATTGCATCCATATTCTATTTTGTGTGAGTCAGATTGCCTTAAATCTGGTATGAAACCCTGTAAGCTCACAATTCTGCATGCAATTTTGATTTTTAATAGTTGCTTATAATCTCAACCTCTTGTCATTTGCATATGGGGCTTTTCCTCCCAAGGAGACCCAGAATTCAGCTGGCTCCTGCCCCTCCATTGCTACCCGCTTGTCCTGCCTCGACAGCACATCAGCCACAACTTTGGCCATCTCCCGCTCATCGCCATTGCAGCCCTGGTACAAAATAAATATACAAAAAATCTGTAATTATTAAGCATTTCAACATGTATGGGTCATAAACAATTAATAACTGTTGATTCCTAATGACAAAGCCAATGGAAAGCAAACTGTAAATAATGGCCATATACCTTTCCATACCACAAGTAGCATGCACGGTCTGTCTTTAGCAGGAAGACATCATTGGAGTTCAACGATGATGCTCTTGCTTTGACTTCCGTGGCCTTGGTGTTCAATTCACTGGTGCCTTTGACCTGAAATAGTCTCGGCCCCGTTTCAGGGTTTACCACACCTGAACGACCCGTGCCACCCTGACAAAAAAAAACAGTAAAGCCTATTACAAGGGTTGACATTAAGTTGAAAGATTGAGGTTAGCAAGTTGCTTTTTCTGTACCTCAAAAATGATTAGTTTGCCTTTGAAAATAGCCAAAAAATGTCGAGGTTCCTTTCCCATGGCCACTCTGACCTGTACTGGGGACCCATTGTATTTGTTATCAATGTTGACCGCTTGATAGGCACTCGCTGTGATCTCATCCTTGGTTGCATGGCGACCCTAAAAGCCACAAATTACAGTTTTATTACTATTATTGCTTCTATAATATTACTGTATATTATCTAAGGATGTTACTTTTACCTGCCATATGTAGAGGATGTGCTGCTGTTGGTTTGATCTCAAATATGTGTACAGCACTAAGTAGCAGTCTCCTCCGTAGAACTGGCCGTATGTGCTTGGCTCGACTTCAGCCAGCTCTAAGTCCTCAATTCTCCATATCTGTGATCATGTAAATGTTAGAATAATGTAAAGTATATTGGACTTACATCATGCATTTATGTTTTTTCGATGACCTGCACTTTCCCTGAAGCATCATCCACCATACGCTGCTGTGCCGCCAGATCAGGACGCGCATGCAGCTCCATCACGTCAAACTTCACCTGCTCCACTTTGGCTGAAGAGAAAGCACGATTAGATTAACCAGTTGGATTTGATTTATAATGATCTTATACAATTCTGACTTCCAAAATAAATACCAATTTTGCCGACAGTGTGTGTGGAACCAAAGCCCTGAGTTTGTCCTTTGTCGCTCCAAGATTTAAACAGGTGCTTGAACATGGCTGTCTCCCCTCCCTCACTCATCACCTCTAGACTTGTTCCGGGTGGGTAATTTTTGGTTTTTATATAACCCTAAAACAAAGACACTTGTCATGACTTCCATACAGTTTGCTTTGTGTGTCATCGGAACACTTTTGAACACACCATAGCTCTGTTCAAAGACTCCCGTCGCTCGACAGGTGAGGCCTGCTTGCCTTTCCACAGCATCACACAAGAGCCATTCTGGTCCGCAATGTAGCAGTCCTGGAAACACATAACCATAATGTGAGAAAATACTTATCACTGTACTTTCTGGAGTATAAGGGGCACCTGTATATAAGCCGCACCACCTACATTTTAAAAGCAAGTACATTTTTGTCCACATATAGGCCGCACTTGAATATAAGCTGCAGGTTTCCATGTTTTAATGAAGCAGATACTCACTGGTACTCATTCACCAGACTATTTTGACAATAAACAAGTGTCTTATAGATACTAAAACTTAATGGAGTCAAAATAAATTGGACCAACCCTACTGTAAGTCCATAAACTCTGCTCTGACCACTCTATGATAAAAAAAAACTACACATATATAAGCTGCAGGGTTTAAATAACTAGAAAAAGTGGCAGTTTATAGTTAACAAATTACAGTATATGGTGCTGGACTATAAAGGTTAAACCATTACAGTTGTTCCTTACAGAAGAAAGAAGCAAGTCTTGAGTGAGAGGCTGAGTGGCCACCTCTCGAATGACCAGATTCCCGCTTTCTTCAAAAACACTGCAAAGTACAAAGTGGTGATGAATGAAAAGGATGAGAGTACTGTTTAAAAATGAACAATTCTTACTGGTAGAGCCGCACAAAGCTCTTCTGCCCCTGGTCCGGCCTGTCGTCAGGGATGGCGTCCTTCAGAGGTCCTTTTCTTTGACCCAGGACAGAAACCATGACTTCCATCAGTTTAGGAGAACCTCCCTCGTCTCCCCCCTCCACCACCCCGATCTGAGCCCGACCCCCCCTCTCCCGGTCCCGGATGTCCTGAGCCAAGAGGACGGCCTGCAACAGCATCACAGCATTAGATTGGATCATGTTCTAGTATAGATTTATTTCAGTGTTTTACCACAAGGGTAAGTTCAAATAAATTAATGAAGAACTGAATATATTTTTTTTCCATCACGTTATTAGGGCTGCATGATTCATCACAATCAAATCAAAATCACAATTTTAGTGGTTTAACACCTGTGGGAAATACCTTTTTAAAAAACTTTTGTAGGGACAATAATGGAAGATTTCAGATTTCACTAAAACATGCACAATAGTTATGAATGTAAATGAGAGAGTGAATGGATGGTGTTGATTGAGGGCTGATGCTCCAGTGTGTTCGCGACTCGCTTCCGTCATCACCGTAAGTAAGTAAGTAATGTTTATTTATATACCGCCTTTCACAGACAATGGTCACAAAGCGGTTTACAATTGTATTTTTTTTTTTTTGGGCATTTGTCCTCTCACTCCACACAGAGATGGGAGCAGGGTCACCGAACAGGAGGCGCATGCCAGATCTATTGTACATATTTTTAGTGGTAGGGGAAACCGGAGTACCCGGAGGAAACCTACGCAGACACGGGGAGAACATGCAAAATCCACTCAGAAAGGCCCTGGTCCGACCGGGATTCGAACCCAGGACCTTCTTGTTGAGAGGCGAGAGTGCTAGCCACTCAGCCACCGTGCCGCCCAATTCCACCACCATCATTCCACCGTGTGTGGAATGATTGGAGCAATATCTGAACTCTGAACATTGTAAAGCGCTTTGGGTGACCTTGGTCTGTAAAATGCGCTATATAAATAAACATTACTTACTTACAAACAACAACACTCATACATATTGCAGTAGGACAGATGCATTAAAAAATACACTGAATTGAACTGAACAGGAGCTCACGTTTCCATGACAACATGTGAATGAAGAGGTGAATACAGATTCTTCCCCAGTGCAGGACTGTGTAGAGTCTGTGCAGTAACATATGCTAGCTTCAGGCGTGGGTTTGGAAAATGTCTTTCTTTTTTTTTAACCCAAAATCTCAATGTACCTTTGATCATTTTTAATCAGTCGGGAAGTGTAATGCCGAGTGAGCAGGCGTAGTTACATTCAAACATCTTCTCTCACTATTTGCTTTATACACATAGATATTCACTTTAAGTCCTGACTTAGATAGTAATGTGACAGTTGGAATCATGGATCTATGGTTGGAATGCACTGTTTATCTAAGTTCGAAGCTAATACAGTAAATGTTGTCACTGTGGAAGCATGGTGTGAAATTTGAACCTACTGTATGTTCATTGAGGAAGTAACTTATCTGAATTATTGCCTGATATCAAGAAGGGTATAATAGTAGTATAAGATATAGCAAATACAACAGCACTTGGCCCAGAAAGCACCTTGAGCTTCTCTCTTCTGTTGCTCTTGGGGCCGTTCCACTGCACTATGACATTGCCAATGTCCAAGAGGAATATGTCTCCGTTGTTGAAGCTGTTCCATGACACCTCCACCTGGACACAAGGTAAACACGCTGCCATAAAACCATTATAATTGGTACACAAACAAACGCTGTGTCTGGAGCGTAACAATATCACCAATGTTGACACGTCTCTCACAGCCATAGGGCAATAACAGACTCATCGTTTGGAGGGAGTGCCAGGCTCCTCTGTGTGAGACTTGTGATCGCACCAGTGGGAGATAATGAGGGCTGTGTTAATCCAGACTAAATGCTCGTGTTTCCTCAGGTCTACCTCAGCAGCAGACACATGCTTCTTCCCTTTGACGTGCAGCAGGCGCAGAACATCGTACGAGTTTGTCTCAACGTGGTTAAAGCCCGAAGCCACGCCTCCCTTTTTGTATCTGCAAAGGTATAAAATGTAATAAAGTGAGAGATGGGGGAGGTGGACTGAGAGCCGCTGTGACCTCAGGTAACCACAGTGAGATATTACAATAAAGTGATTCATGTTGTAGGAATATTCCATATAATCATGCTCTATTCTTGTTAAATACTTAGATCAAATACAGTCCAATGTTCAATTCTGGTTGAATCAATAGTGGAGGAAATTACACCAGTCTATGCTCCATAGCAGCAGAATCCTTATGACTATATGTAGAAATAACAACATCTGTTTAAGTAGCATGGAAGTATGATAATATGACAATTGCAAAATCATTATCATAGGCATGTGTTTTTCTGTCTTATTCTGGTCATGTGATTATGTCTTTACTCTTGTTGCCATTAATATGTTTTATTATCTTGGAATGTGTGTGTGTGTGTGTATCAATGAGTGTCGGACGCACAGACTAGTTGCCTTGATTCTGTCAGTCTGCCCCAGGGCAGCTGTGGCAACACATAGGTGTTAACCATCATATTGTATGAATAATGTCATGTGACATCTGTTTGCTACATATATTATGATGCATAATTAGGACGACTTTGGTTGCATTATGTAAGATAAGATACTGTAAACCTTTTTTCATCCCTCAGTGGGGACATTTGAACAGTCAAAGCTCTTTCCCTGATCCCAGCAGGACTCACATCAGCCCGTTCCTAAAGTAGCTCTTGAAGCGGGGAGACTCATAACACTGGACCTCCCTGTGCTGGATCGGACTGCCCCCCAGGTGCTCGTCCAGCTGGGTCACAAAGATGGCCGCGGCGCCTTGCTCGTCCTGGGAGGAGGAGTTCCCAATCCAGTAATGAACGTCCGCACTCTGCCCCTTTCCCGAAGCGATCTGTGGACACAGAGATCATTACAGTCTGTGTGCAGCCTCTGGGGAAATCACTGCTAATTGCACTCACATTTAAAACAATGTAACAGTCTCCCTCGAAGAAGTTACCGTGCGCCTGGGTGGGAACAGGGACCATCTCCATGTTCTGAATCACAAACAAAAAGATGCATAGAAAAGCAATTACAGTGAGCTATTTCATGTTTGATGTGACCGTGGCTTCGGTTTGACTTACATTGATTGTCCATATCTGCAGCCCGGGCTTCTGGCTGACATTTCGAAAGGCGTCTTTACTATTGTCATTCATAGTTCGATACAACTGCAAAACATTATTCATTTGAAAATATTTAAATTAAGAATATGGAATAAAAATCGCATAGGAAAAGTGCTTCAAAATACCACATATATTACCATATAATTAAATACCAACAGACAAGGGTAGCCAGAGTACATAGTTAGAGGTGATTAATATGATAGCATTGATTTATTAAGATATGGGGTAATTGATATGTGAATGAAGTGGTTATTGTGCTATCATCAAGTGGATAATTATACCCTCCTCAGAAGTCACTAGAGACTAAAGTGCTCATCCTGTTCCCCTCACTGCGTCCTGATTCCGGAGCAGCACCCTGCCAATCGTTGCTTATGTTTACAGGAAGTTCTTTTTCTATTTGGAGGAAACAGATGGTTCTAAAAGATGCCATGAGCTCTTTTGAAGGCTTTGGATGTGTGACACTGTGACATCTCTAATTCCCAAACGAGAATCAGCTTGGCGCCATGGCAACACACAAGTCCTGCAATCATCTGCCTCTGGGCTCAGTGCAGGGAACAACAGCGGTGATAAGCAAATACACGCACACACATACAGACACGCACACATCCACTCACTCACACACACAAACACACAACCACACAGGCCCGATGCTGTGGAGCTGTGGGAGATATGAAGCCACTATGCAAACGGACCAGGTGCACTTGGGCAGATCCTGGATGGAGGTACAGAACTGAAACATGTCGTATTTAATAAATTATTATAACATTAACCCCTTTCAACACCGGCATTTACTGATTCACCTTCAGCATAAGATAAGATAGATTTTATTGATCCCACACTGGAGAAATTTACAGCGGTGACGCACGATGACACATGGTGAGATGTATGTCAAAGCTGGACCATGAGACTTAACAGAGACTAAGTTACAAAAGATTATTATCAGTCATGCTCACAGCAAAATGAGAAAATGAATAATAGAAATGGTGCGTAATGGCCTATTTTTTGGTATAGTAATTATCAACTTTTTTCATTGATAAAAATAAAGCCACGCCCAATATTCTTATCAAATATTGATTCCTCATAAGAGTCAGAGCCATAAATCCATGTCCAGCCTTTGCACAGTTATAAACCAATTTACATTACTTTTAAAAGGTGAGGGGTTAAAATTAAGATCAAAGTGCATTTAATACTTTATACTAACTTAATTACACATATATATATATCGCATTGCCACAATTGACTTATTATTGTTCTCATTGTTATTTATTTGAACAAAAATAGGATCCATCTATATTCACTTATTCACTCCACCACTGAACAGACCTTTTTACTGCCCGCATGGTCCTTGAACAAAACTGGGCCTTTTGCAATCTGAGCCTCTCCACATTAAAAGCTGAGCAAATATTGAGTGAAAAGGGGAGACACAAAAGTCCAGGCGTGCGTCAGGAAAAACTGGTCACGGATCACCTCATTGTCCTTCTAATTGTTTCCTTTCAATTAGAAGGACAATGGGTTTAATATCAAACGCTGATATCGCACGCCATAAACAGACGAGCAATAAACAATAATTATTAACTTTATCAAGAGTCTGGGATAGAGGCAGAGTGAGAGGCATTAGACATTTCACTTTTAGAGGCCTTTAGTAAAGACAGACATTCTGCGATTAGATAAGACATGGATTTTGAGATGGCATAGAGGCTTAGATGTAAAAGTATTGAAGGTTTCTCCTACCTGGTGGCGGTGAACTATTCTAAGAGAGGAGCAGTGATGGAGCTGGGGCAGGATGCAGCCTGAGAACTGGGCAGGTACAGTTATATTGCTGCTCTCTTCCTGTATGCACAGTCCATTGGAAAGCGCACAGTGGGAGGTACCTGTTGTCTCCACACCCATGCGCAAACACACCTGGAACTGCCTGCACTCTCCCCCATCCTCACACATATGACCACAAAACATGGACCATTTACTGAAATCTCAATTGAAAGTAGATTTTTGTTTTGTTTAAGACAGTTTAATCAAATGTGTTAATGTGTCTGGTTGATTAATGTAACTCTAGAATCTGTCGCATCAACAGGCAAAATAAGAGTAAGGGTATATTGTATGAAATCATATGCAGCCAGTTTGCTAGTCATACCTAGAGAGGCTAAGCAGGGCAGGGCTAAGTACTGTGATGGGACGGAAGACCTCTGGAAATACCAGGTGGGACAGTGCTAAACTGGCATTGTGTCCTTAGGCAAGACACTTCACCCACATAGAATGATTGGGGTGATCAGAGGGGCAGAGGGCTCAGATGAAGAGTGAACGAATAATGCCAGGTCTTTGAGTCCAAAAAAGCACTATATAAGTATGATGCATTATTACAAAAGGTGGTTTATGATACTTAGGGCAGTCATGGCTGCTACAGTGTCTGTCTGAATAACATTATACTATTTCTACTGACACAAAGCCAGTTGAATAGTTGACTGCTAAATTCTCTCTTCAGACTACTGCACTGTTGTCTACCCTCACATGTGAGCATCACATGGATCACCATTAGCTCAGTCACCTGGGGATTAAACATGAGGACTTCAGTCTGGAGCGTGAATAACACCATATCAGGCTGTTTCAGGGTAAATCCTGCTCACAGATATGGGAACACCTCCCACTTGTATTTACATGTGTTTATTATAAGGCTGTGTGTAAACAAGCCGGAGTGAGAGATCTATTTCATACACAATACAGTACAGTTGTAACAATAACGCAGCATCACAGTTCCATACAAAAAACTGTTTCTTGCCGCTTTACAGAGTCACAGTTTACCACTACATTTACATCTGAAAGTGTGACTAGTGATATTACAAGTATGGTATAAAGACAGATGTTGAGTAGAAGAAGTAGCTCGAGTAATTCCCACTGAAGTAAACACACACATGTCTTCAGAGTAGTACAGGTTACATAAGCTCAGAGGAGGTGCAGAGATTCTTACCTTGAGCCATGGTTTTGCCTGTTCATTCCTGGAAGCCATTGCGGAGCAGCAGACTTAGTTTCACACACACATGTTTACTTCTTTTGGCTCCATAGTAAAGGGCAGGAATTTTCAAGGTAGAAGAATAAGCTCTATACAATGCCTAATCCACTTGAGCAACGTTAGCGGAAGCAAAAAGTTCACAAGACACAAAGGTACCAGCAGTTGAACATTAACCGCTTTATGACAATAAAAATATTTTATTAAAATATCTTTACCCATTTCTATCTTAAAATGTATGTCAAGCAAGAAACAAACTTTCTAACCTTTATGTTACATTGGAATTCTGAAACTGTGCATTTATTTCAACCATAATTGAATGGTGTGAAATTATCACGTTTTATGACCAATATTTTAATTTTTAAAGCTTGGGTACATGACTTTGTGTAATAAAGGCCATCTAACTTGCCTTCCTCCCAAAACAATTTGCCTCAATCACAAACTTTCCCAAATATTTTTCATGCGTCTTCTAATAAGATGAAGAAAGAATGTTGTGGTCTTATTTGATCACATTTAACGTTTACAAGACTCTTTCTTTTGGGATATAAAAGGCCAATTTCAAGGAAACCCCAACCCAAAACAAACTCTTGGCTCTGAATGTGGACTCGGGCAAGGAATGATCTCTTCTATGTTTTGATTACATTTTTCCTAAATTGTTATCAAATGTCTAATATAATTATGATATACACTTATACAGACACGTCACATACCATTATTTATGCACTCCATACACAGTGGAGATAAACTGCTACTGTAGCCGCAGCTCCCCTGGGGCAGACTGACGAAAGTAAGGCAACCAGTATGTGCACTCAGCCCCTCCAGCACGCACATAACTCATACAAGGCAATGTGGGCGACGTGTCTTGCTTAAGGACACAACAACAGGCACTTTGCAACTGCCCAACTGTGGCACCTGGTAGGGTCTGCATTCACTGGTGTGTAGGATTGTGTGTGTGGATGTGTGTGTGAATGTGTGTGTATGAATGTGTGTGAATGTGTGTGTGTGAATGTGTGTGTGAATGTGTGTGTGGATGGTTGTGTGAATGGTTGTATGAATGTGTGTGTGTGAATGTGTGTGTGAATGTGTGTATGAATGTGTGTGTGAATGTGTGTGTGAATGGTTGTGTGAATGGTTGTGTGAATGTGTGTGAATGTGTGTGTGAATGTGTGTGTGAATGTGTGTGAATGTGTGTGAATGGTTGTATGAATGTGTGTGTGTGAATGTGTGTGTGAATGTGTGTATGAATGTGTGTGTGAATGTGTGTGTGAATGGTTGTGTGAATGGTTGTGTGAATGGTTGTGTGAATGTGTGTGAATGTGTGTGTGAATGTGTGTGTGAATGTGTGTGAATGGTTGTGTGAATGTGTGTGTGAATGTGTGTGTGAATGTGTGTGTGAATGTGTGTGTGAATGGGTGTGTGAATGTGTGTGTGAATGTGTGTGTGTGAATGTGTGTGTGAATGGTTGTGTGAATGTGTGTGTGAATGTGTGTGTGAATGTGTGTGTGAATGGGTGTGTGAATGTGTGTGTGAATGTGTGTGTGAATGGGTGTGTGAATGGGTGATTGGTTCCTTGATGTGAAGTGTTTTGAGAGCCTTGAAAAGGTAGAAAAGCGTTATATAAATGAGACCATTTTTCGCCCCTAGAAGTCTCCCATCACAGTAATAATCAGGCCCTGCCTCACTTAACCTCTCAAATCTGACAGGATCAGGCTTTCACTTGCAGGTAGAACCATAAATATATATATGTAAAGTAATTGAGAAAGTATAAAACTCACAAAATCACCACAAGTCAGTCCATAACTCACTGAAACGTGTGCAAAACTTTAATAATGTTGTACAGTACAACTTTTACAGCATTCTTTACACCCAACATCATTTGCCTCAATAAATATAATATCATATATCATCTATACTAATTCATATATTTTCTCTGGACATTTTTTGTTTGACAATAATAATCTCATCACATTTTTTTTTAAATACTTATTTTTTTTTACATATTTAAGAATTTACAATAGCCACAAATCACATTAAAATAATTTGGTCAATTCAAAATCGAGAGGATTTTATTGTTCATTTTGTGTAGATCGACAAGAATATTTGTTGTAGATTACAGTTTACAACATGTGCGTCCCATTCATATCAGCTCAGTATGAAGGCACTTTTTTAATTAATAAGTAAAATAGAAGAAATCACAGTTATTTGAACCAAGGATCGTACACCAGCCTGCAGAACACAGCTCAACACCCACTACTGAAAGCAAAACAACATGATCGTTCTTCGGTAAGTAAAATAATCTTGGGAAGTATTGTAAAACCTGTGTTAGAAAAGTTCATAGAAACATATACTATACATACATACAGTCATACACTCTTATTTGTATGGAAGTCCTGTACAGAAACTTGTTTGGAGGAGAAAACGTCCGTTGTCTTTTTGCTACCTATTCCTCAAAGTCTGTAAGGAATTATAAATGTCCTCATCTTTGCTTAAAGCCTCGAACAGTGGAATAAGGTCCAGCAGCTCTGTGTCCGTCATGTCGTCAAACCAGGACTGCACGGCCACCTGGAAAACACACACAAACACCTCATTATGGACATATAGGGGCAAATGTCACACGTCCTAATTATATCATTTGAATATTTTTTGGTGGGTTTTAATAACGTAAACGAGTGAGTGGCAGAAATCTAATAAAATGAGCACTGCCCGAGGCTCAAAGCTCTTTATGAATGTTAAGCAGTCAGAAAATATTAGATTCTACCGCTGTTATTATTAGCGCAGATTTCATATATTTGGAAGACATTAAGCCAACTTTCAATCCACATAAAAATCCATCTGACTAATTCCTTTTCTTTATGGTCTCTGTCATAAATTTAGATCCGATTTTTCAGAGGACCATCCGCTCTGAGCTCAAAGAGTCAAACTGGGACTCGCAGGGCTGTTTCTCACATGTTTTATAATAAGGTGGTGGTGGTCTGATTTGTTCATACAATGTCACGTTTTGTTTACAAGACAAAATGTTTTATTGAAGAAAAATAAATACTTCTTGAAACCAAAAAACATGTTACACAATCTTATTAATATTTCTTCGTACGTTCACCAAACATTAGGAATACACTTTAAATTAACTATGTATTTCTTGAACTATAAGCACCTACATTTACTTGCTGGAGTGAAAGTCAGGGGTATTCAACAGTTTTGCTGCATGGTCAATAAAACACTACCACACTAAACACAACCATTACAACGACAGATATTGTTTTTGCAGCTAATGTTACAATATTAAAGAGTTTATTGGTAACTTACTGTACATGCGACTTCTCACAGTGTTACCAGCTTTGCAGCGTCATCAAAGACAAGGATTATAGTTTTATGAGTTATTAACCGCTGAATATGTGTACACAATGTAACGGCTATATAGATATATGAGAAATCTCTTTTTGTGTAAATGTTTTCCAAAAAAAGTGAAGATTTCATTTGCAAAAACAAATATCTCAGTTTATCAGTTTTTAAAATGTGTTAAAAAGTTGCATTTGTCTAACAATAATCTTCAACATGTTTTGTTATTGACAGTGAATTTTAAAGAATATGCTGAAAAAGGGATGAAATAGATTAATCTATTAACTTTACATTTTCTTTCAAATGTCTTTCTAATGACATTTATCTGTTTTTGCAAATCAACTATTCCTGTACAAATTGTTGTACTGACTCAAAGACAAACTTCCCTCAGGGGTCCATAAAGTTTAATATATACTGAATTCGTTGCATTTTCTTTTGTTGGTTTTCAGAAAACAGTCCAAGGCACTTGTAGAGTCAATGTTTATTAACGCCTTGAGCCAACGCAGTTACATTTTTCCTTTTCCTCAGGGCATTCTTTACTATGAGGCATTTAGTGAGCCGCCTGAGCACTCCCATCTCTAAATCTATGAACATTTTGATATTAGATCATGCAATTTATGTTGTTACAAAAACAAAAAGTAACAATAAAAACGTGACCTTTAGTATACATGTTTTTATTGTCTGGATAACCATAACAAACAGCTAAACTGTGTTTGAATATAATTAGGCTCAAAACTATAAAGTTTTGTGTTGAGTGGGTGAGAGGGGCTGGAGCCAAAAAGGTATTTTCTTGTATTTCTGTATCTGGGTAGTGTAGGCTTTCTCTCCTCTTGTCTTTTTTCAAATACGTATATACCATCAGATGCAAAACAAAGTTATATACTGCTCTGAAATGACTGTAAAGGCATTCCAAGTATCCACAATACATCACTGTGATTGGTCCACGTGACTGGATACACTAAATTTAACCTTTTTACATGTAAAACAAGTATTCAGGATTCTCTCCCAGCGCATGACTGTATGTGTGACTTACAGCGTTCTCTGGGTGGAATATGTAGGAGGCCGGCGAGTTGTCTATGATGATGACTTTGCTGAGCTCGCGGCCAAGGCGGCTGAGGTCTTTGACGTAATTTCCCCGATGGAACACACAGGATTCCCTGAAGAGTCGCGCCCTGAACACCCCCCACTGGTCCAGCAGGTCGGCCACAGGGTCAGCGTACTAAAGCAGGAGTGATTCAATGAAATATACATGTTAAAAGACAGGGATCCCAAAATCAAATACATCAGAGGGCCAAAATCAAAATTGCTACAATGTTTCTTAAAACATATTAAAATGTTTGCATATAACCTACTGAACCAAGAGCTAACACTGTGTACCGTATTTTATTTAATGATTACATGAGAAATCCAATATTTTTTTTATGGCTCTGTCAGTAAGTGAAAACATTTGTCAACAGGCTCACAGACAAAAAACAACTTCTATCAAAGAACATGAAATGAATAATCCAATAGTTTCTTATGGCTCTGTGTGGGTCGATTCTAATACTAATCAAACATCATCCGGGAGGCCATCCATGTTAGGAGATGGAATAAAAAAAAAATAAACAGGCAAAGGATGAGGAGCACAAACCTTGGCTAAACTCGCGGTGAAGAGCACACATTCAAACAGCTCTCCCATCTTCTGCAGAAACTCGTCCACGTGGGGTCTCTTCAGAACGTACACCTGAAGGACACGGACAGCTCAGTATCATGCAATAAACACACAATGTAGACAGGAAGAGGAAAATAAAACACTTTAGTGCAGAGGAATGCTTAAAAGGGCCAAAGAAAACATGTTCTCTCATAAGATAAAGACAACTACCTACTACTCCTTCTGTTGGTAAAATAAATATATATAATGAATTGGGGAAAAATAGGTACCCCTGCTGTATATGAAACTAGACTCTCATTCTTCTTTCTCACTCCATTTTGAGCTGACAAATTGTAAATAGAAATGCAATCGTAGATACTGTACATATTGAAATTGAAAATATACAACACATGGTGAAACTAGGGCAAATACTGTGGCTTGATTGTATATTTAAGTTTATATATTTTCCTGTGTAAGTATATACTGTACGCGCAGAAGGCAGCATGTACAAAAGGTCGTGTAAACTAAGAAATGTAAATATTTATGAATGTGTAATTTCTGCTGGAATGAATACAATCAATCAATCTTAGAAAATGTTGCTGCTACATTGATTCGAACACAGGTCTACAAAATTATTACAAAATGCAATTGAAACCATTCTGTTTTAGGGTTATATTTGACAGTACACAGAATGCTGACTATTTTCTCACAGGGTAATTGTTGTTTTTGTCACTTTTGCAGCTTGCATATTGTAATGTAGAGAGCTGTTTTGTCAACCAGTGTGTTGGGGCATGTTAGTGAGCCTTGAGATGTTTGGAAATGTTCCAATGGCACGCACATGTTCAAAAAATTATGATTAGAAAGACTTGTGCGCTTGTTTGATATTCTATAGTGTAATAAACTGTGAAGAGAAAGATGCATTGTGGCTGCAGAGTTTCATTTTATACATACATACGTTTCAGCTGATGGTGTAGCGTGTGATTGATTAATGCCACGACTCAAAAACGTTGGAGAACACAGATGTAGAGGGATAAAAATTCACAATTCTTCAACAAGGCTGGTGCTAACGATGGAGTTCTCAGCCTGGCATATGGCTAATTTTACCCATGAACCCGAGGAAAATCATACAAAATCCCACAGAACATAAACATTTTGCCATAATTCATTTGTTGACAGTTGCTGACGCCAAGTGCAAGTAATCACGAACAGGCCACAGCACATACACAGCCTATCCTGGATTACTTGAACTTGGAAACAGCTGCACAATCCTTCTTCAAACAGGCTTGAAGGGGAAAACGGTCCTCTTTCACAGTCATATCCACAATAGACAACAAGCTGTTCATATCGCATAGAGTCCCTTCAGTACCTGATGAACAGTGCCATCAATCTCCACCGGAACAATGAAGTCGGCGTTGCTGATGGGCTGCGGAGGACAAAATGGAGAAAGGGAAGATTTATTTTTACAATGCAGCTTAGGTGACACGCAACAGCCAAATGCAAGCAGTGTGGAGAAGCCTGGGGCAGACTGGAGGTCCTTTATGAGAGCCGTAGTGCAGCTTTGTGCTCCACTTCTTCACAGTATTAAGGAAAACCCTGGTATGACTCCAGGGAGATGCCTGCAGCGGTCTGACAGACGGAGCGGAGCACAGGAGCCCGGGCTGAGACTTTTGTCATCTTTAAGCAGATACGGGAAATGAGGGAGCAGCCTAGAGCAGGATGAAAGGCCTGGGTGGGCGGCGGAGGTGACATGTTGAAGTAAATTGGGGGAAATGAAGGAACGCAGGTGCCAGAGAGACTGAACTTTGTGATGAAACGTGTTGCTTTTTCAAAATCCTGATGGATCTTAAGTCTGATTTTAGACTGCACTAATGTAAATGGGTTTATTTCACCTGCTTTTGATCTTTACTTGCACAATCTATTTAGATTCAGATTCAGATTAATTTATTTGCCATTTGCGGTAAAACCACATTGGAAAAACTGTGCAAGACTACCCCAGTGTGCACCAGCAAGGCACACACCGGAGCTCTTGCCACGGCGCCATCTTTACGGCGGTAAATACTATGGTATTAACAATAAAAAGGGTTAGTACTACTTTCTTGCACAAACACATGGTGGATTTTTCATCTGCTCTCTTTCAGTTTTGGTGCAGATTGTATGTGTGTGTTTCTGTTGTTCTGTTGTTGACTCTGTTGTTTATGTGTTTTCTGTTGTTTGAAAATGTAATGAATAATGTAAGGCTGCATCACACTCAAGTTGGTAATGCGATTGGCTTGCAATTGTCAAATCACATAGACCTCAAATATTGAGGTCTAAAAATGGTCTTGTTAGCTTAATATACAAACTCTGTGTTTCAGCTCTAAAACAAGGATCACGGCAAATGTCCAAAATAGGTTAGTAAGAGCTTCATCAAAGGCTTAAGTTAATTTTTACTTGCTAAAAGTCTTATCTAACATACTTTTAAGCACAATGGATTTTTTCCCAGTGCAGTTGGAAAATGATCTTTGCTTCATAACAGAAATCGAGAATCGTATCGTTATCTGAAAAATTATAATTAAACATTCCTTCGAAATAGTGCAGCCCTAGTACTGTAAGTACTGTTCCCTCCAGCAGAGGGGGTGTTTGCTACGGGAATCGTTCCTGCTCCAGCTGGTGTGTGCTCTATATCTACAACTATCTCCCAGTGTTTGCATTGGGCACATGATTAGAAAAGCCCTCGCCGCAGCTGCACAAAGCCTCATTACACAACATTACACATAAAAGGCAGCGGATGCGAGAGAATCTGTGACAGGCTCGACAAATCAAGTTTGTGGTTGGACAGAGCAGGCGCTGGAGCAGGGCAGATCAGTCCATCATCTGAAGACAGAAAGCACAGCAGCTGTTCAGAGACCGGGCTCAGAGCTGGAGATGGAAATAAGCAATGTGAGGAAGGACAAAAGAAACAGACGTGTAAACAGTGATGAAGGATGCAGTTTTAAGAGTAGGTGGCTGTCTCGTTGTTCGTTCAGATTCAGACATATCCAGTAAAAGGACATAGCAATACACAGACCCCAGTGTGCACCAGACAACTCATACAATATTCTCGAAAAGCATTGTAATCGATAACTTCTTATGTGGCTTTTTATTATGTCACAGAGAGAAGTGTGGAGATGGACAAAAGCAATAAGCTGCCGTAGAGCAACCTATACCTCAAACTTAATCATGTCGATGAAGAAAACTCTCATTATAACTATATTGTGTTGCCTATTTTGGGAATATCAACCCGAAATGAATTAAAATCCTTGAAGCATTTGATCCGACTGTAGTTCTTAGGTTTTACTTTGTGTGTTTGTTTGAGAACCACTGAACAAATGAAATAATAAAAGTTTTGCATCGAAACCTCAGAAAATAGTGCACGGCCTATATACATATACTATTTATACATGTGAAATCCATCTGAGCATTAGGACAAGTTTGGCTAAATCAACATGGCTGCCAGTCACATGAACCCATACTAGTCCATTTCATAAGTGTACCCATAATTGCATTTCTGGCTCACATGTCAAACTCCTCTCTAAACTGGTCCCAATCCCATTTCTATTATTGCATCCTGCGTTGTGTGCGTTGTTTATAGCCACTTTAACACAATCTGCAGTTAATCCTCGAAGCTGTGGGCTGATCCCCTCTTCCATATCATAAAGACAGAGCAGGATGTCATGCCTTATGTAATGCTGCTATTTTCTGCGCATGCATCTGTGCAATGTGTGACATGATCCCTCTCTGATTTACTCGTTTGTACACTTTCCCTTGCTCAACTGCTGCAAATATTTTGATCTCCGAATTTCATAAATATGTTTTTTCCCCCACCGGATGTCTTGCATGCGTTGAAGGGAAGTGGAATCGCTGTGTATGGAGTTTTCTGTGTAATAATATATTCTCAAAGTCACAGTCCTTGGGGAGGTTTCTTGTTTTTTTGTTTAATTATAAAAGGAGCCATTTGGCTGCTGCACAAACACAGGCTGCTTTATGATAATCAAAACTGTCTGGTCAAGCTGCTTCGGAGCACATTATGGCCCACGCACTGCATGTTATGTGCGTTATGGGAGTGGTTTACTTCTCAATGTTGGAGAGAGTGTTCTGGATAAGAATCTTAGCTTGTTCCAATCGTGTAGTCCTGTCTATTGATCAAAAGTAATGAAATACATACATTTGGATTAGACCTGCTTTATTACCATATATGGACATTAGTCATCCCGCTCCCTATGGACCAATGGCTCCTGTGTGTTTGTTGTGTTCAGACTGTTTGATTCTCTGATCTGTTGTTGGTGAATTGACAACTGTTGAACATAACTGACTTGAATTCATTAGCTATATTGTTGATGTTTTGATGTATCTTTTTCTCATTTCGGACCAGAGCAACATATTTAGAGATCGGATTGCAAATGTGCTCCATGTTTGTTAGAAAAAAAGGAATGCAGAAGCTGGGTGGGTGAGTTTAAAGAAAAAAAAAATCTTTTCAAGCTACACTTTCCTTTTCTGAGTATTCCAGCATTCCGGGTTTCTGTGAATTTCACCCGCGGCCATTTGAGGCTACAGCGCTGCGGTCTATGGGACGCACCCTTGAATTTGTGGTCCCCTCCCTCCTGCCACGGAACTCGCAATGGGTGGGTCCCAATCAGCATGTGTACATTTTTCATTCCTTATGCCTTCCCATTGCAAACCAGGAATGTTTCTGCACTTCTTGGAAATAACCATTGCAACGCCTTATGTAAGTTTTAGGAAGAACCCGATTGTTTATTTCAACCATTTCTTCTTCTTTTAGAGTTTGTAAGGACAAGAACCAACTGAAATATACAGTAGATGCATAGACTGAAGAGGAAGTGAGTTAAGGTAGAATTGCAGAAACAAAAGAGATTCAATATTTATTCTGTTTGGCCTTAAATGTAGCGTTCATGTATGCGTATCTATAAACAAGTCATGGTTTTTAACTTTTATAACAAAAAGGCTCTACGTTTACAATTCAAATTCAATAAACCAAAAATAAAGATTATCATAATACTTTACTAAAAAGTGCAAATGAATAGAAATAGACGCTTTGGTTTCTGTTCAAAACATACCACGCTCACCCTGTTCAACCTGATTTACAAAACCCTATAGACGCCACAGCTGTTTCCTGAATGCTGTCACCACATTTAACACAAACAATAGTGTTTTTAAAAAGGTATTTCTCTGTGTAATCCTTTTTGCCCTACAGAGTCATTTCAGCCTCGATAGGGTTATACAGTAGGAGCATGTATATTGTGCACATCTGTCCCTATCAAACAAAACACATAAATAAGAGTAAATACCTTAAAGGAGGAGTGCACCAGCGTCTCGTCCAGGTCGATCACCACACAGCTCTTGCCGTAGTCTGCGATGCTAACCTCTGGGAGCAGGAACTTGGCTGGAGGCTGAAGGGACAGAAGGATGTCAGAGACCAAAACAAGGATGGTTGACCGGGTGGAAAATCCGTGTATATCGTTGCTTGGGTTGTCACGAATTACTGGACGATTTGGGTTGAGTTGTCTTGAACCCTGGTTTGTTTTAGGAGGATGTTTTTAGTATATTTAAAGCTGGGGTACCTTACTTTCAAACCACAATCCTCTGTTAACAATGTTCCTGGCTTCAGTTCGGTTCTATAGTTTCCATCTGCATGTATTTTTATTTGCCTATGTCACATATTTGAATCATTTTTTACGGATAGAAAATGTAAAACACAGAGGACCACCATCTTCCCTCAGCCAAAAGATAAAATGTTTTTGATATGAATAAATACTGCATGTGTTTATTTTTTTGACTTGCCTACAAAGCACAAGCGACTACAAGAAGGGCCTGGCAGAGGCGAACGGAGGACTTTGCCGTAGCTTCAGTTCGTGCACCTCTCCCGTCTGCCAAGGGGAGGTTGAAGGTTGACAGTATTTATCATGTTGTGGTGAGACTGCATGCTGATGTGCCGTGGTACAAGGACACTGAGAGACTCCCCGTTGGGAACGCGATGGATGAGATTTACACACGCAGTGGAGCAGGCAAGCGGAGGGGACCCAGTGGGGCTTTGGCATTTGCAGAACACTTGTGGGGTAATCAGAAAAGGCTAGTTACAATGTCAAAACCCGGGCGGACACTCTCAGGGCACTACATAAAGGTCATATATTGAGATCAAATGTAGCAAGATGTTCAGATTTGACCTGGATTGTGAAAGATGAGATCGCGTAAACGGATTAAAAAAAAAAATCAAACTAAACAGCAGGTGGATATAAAGCCAGTCATGTGACAAATAGACTTTAACATTTCTGTGTGCTGCATGTTTTGTATGTTGTAATTTATGTATTTGCCTGCAGGGACTATTGCTGAAGGGAGGTTTTGTAGCTATAATCTGGCATATTTACATTTGTTTCATACTGATGTCCATTAATGTGCATGGTCCCAATCAAATAAAAAAATAAATACATTCAATATTAAGATATTAAACACTCATTTCTTTTAGATTAGCTGGGATTATCTCTTGACATCTTGACCAAGAAGGACAAGGGGCTGGTCAACAAGTCGGGAGGCAAGGCAACTTTAATCTGATGTTCCCAATAGAAAAAGTCAGAGCACAACGTTTGCACATTTGTCTTACTAGTGACTGGGGGTAGGAATGGTCGTCATTTTTTCACTTTTTAGTCTCAAAATGTGAGACAAAAAAGAGAAATGCATGTGACACAATGAGACAGTCATTAAATGTATTTCATAGCCTCATAACTCCTGAGGAAAATATTGCACTTTTCAATCCATCCAAAACATGTTCCTGCCAATAGGAGGTGCTGGACTGGTGTGAATGAAGTGACTGTCAACCACAGGTATCACAAACATTCCACAGGGGAAAAATGTTTGGGAATTTCCCTATATGTTCAGATCACAAAGTCTGCAAGCACCGAACCGACGACAGACATTGAAAAACAGAAAGACAACCAAGCAAATATCACTTAATTACATTTGTTTCTAACCTATCCATTCATCCAGATGGCTTAAGCAGATTAAGAGAGCATTTTAGGTTCACTGTCATCTCTCTTTATTCAACATAATATTTTTTGGGTTTTTATGAATGAGGGAGCAATGAAAAAGGATTCAAAAACCCCTTCTCTGCCCTTATCAAAAGCTCCCATGCTGAGACTGAAAGGGTGGCTAGCAATAGGCATGGGCGAATGGCTTCTTTTGGGTCAGGAACAAAAAAACAAAGCGAGGCAGAGGGTGCCAAGACAAAAACATCAATATTTGAATCGGGAGAGAAGGAGAGAGGAGAGTGGAGGACACACACAGACCCGAGCTCGTCAAAAACAAACAAGGCTGCCATAGTAACAAATACGGCGGGCCAGCAATCCTGCAACATACACCGCACTGTGCCGCCAGTGAGGGAGGCGCGGCCAGGGCTCTTACAAGGCTTTTTATGGCCAGGTTCGCTCGGTTCACACTGAATTAATGCCATTTGTTGAGAAGGGCTCCGCAGTGTGTCAATACAGGCCACATGTGTAGAAAACAGGCATTCCTCAACTGAATGTAAAAAGGCAAATAGCAGAGTTGGCAGGTAACGACGTATTTTGACTTGATCTAAGAATTACTACTTTGTTTTCGGGCAACTTGATTACTTTACTCCTTACTTTTAAATCCTGATATGTGTACTCTCTACTCCTGACATGTAGAAGTGACTAATGCGTAAGGCGACACAGGATGAAAAGCAAGTATGATGTGGTTTGCCATGCTTCAAAATGAACTTGTGTTAGCCATGCTTCTAAGATCAGGTTTGGCATAATAAGATAACCGTTTTGTTTTATGTCCTATTCTGTGTTTCAAAGGCAACGTTTAAAATTTCTCCAACAAATATATTTACAATTTTGTATGACTTTTTTGCTGCAGTGCAAACAAAATCTTGTATTTTTAAACTTGCACTTAAAGCTGGGGTGTGTAACTTTCAAACCACTAAAAATATGGCCACTATGTAATCAATTCCATCTGAAGAGTTCCTTGCTTTTGTCCTCTCTCACATCTTTGGATCAGCTTTTTTTAGACAGAAAAGTGAAAAAGACAGGACCTCCTTCACTCAGCCAATCAGCTCTCTGCCCAAACCCTCAAATAGTGACTCACAGGGCTCTAGTTTTAAAATGAGAAGAAGACAGAATGAGTGGTCTGATCTGTTTTTACTTCCTATTGGACCAACTATGTGTTGTTTGTGATTAGAAAGTTAGATACCCCAGCTTTAAGTAAGGGAATTATACTTAAACATTAGCCCCAATACTTTCACTTAAGTACCTATAATACTAGTACTATTGCCACCTCTGGTAAATAAAAAGAGGGAACACATTGGGGATGCATTATTCTGGGACATATTTATATTGGCAATGGCTCTAAACAAATTTGTAAAACCAGGACTAAATCAAAAATCAAATTCGTTCAGAAGTTCTGCTGGAAAAACCCAGTGTGACTTTTGCTCGGTGTTTGCGCGGCACATGTGGCTCCTCTCAGTGTCTCGGCGGGTGTGCGTCTGTGCGTGAGTTTGCAGTGCGTCGGTCGATATGGAAGAATGCATGATGGGAAAGGAGCCCATATTTTGGAGCAGTAGATGGTAAACAACCTCAGGAGTTCAGCGGGTTTGAAGCAGCTGGAAGAATGTGCAGGGGAGAGAGGCAGAGGGGAGGGAAAGTGAAAGGGAGAGAGAAAGAGAGCGGCGCTTCCACTTTGGACCCGAGCAGAACCTCAGCCTCGGGCCTCATTGTAACGACACCAACTGTCACCGGAGCGCCACAATCTATCTCCGATTTCTGCCTTGAAATATTTACTAAATCCAACAGGTTTTTTTTAGCCTGACCAAGAGATTGTTTTGCATTTTTATTTATCTTATAGTTTTCATTATTTATTTTTCTCAGATTTTTTTGACTATTTTCATTTTTATTTATTATACAAGGCTTATGTGGTATTTTTTTTAAAATCTATTTTATTTGCAACAATTTGTGAGAAAGAACCCCGTGAGTCATTAATTGACACTTTGGGCGTAGAGCTGATTGGCTGAGAGAGGGTGGGGGTAGAAATCGTCTTGAAAGCGAGGAACTAATTACAGTACATGGTTTTATTACATAATTACATTCGTTGTGGTTTGAAAGTTAGATAGCCCAACTTTTTTGGACTGACTTTTTGGCATAAAAAAACCTTAAAGTTTTCACTGGACAATAACAAACAAAGCAAAGAACCATTGAGACTCCAAGGGTAAAAGATTGAAAGACTAAAACGAAACTAAATCATGATCATCTCGAGCCGGGCCATGAAATAAAAAGTCATTTTGGCAGTAAATTATTTCAGGGTCAAATGGAACAAAAATGGATGGATATTGTCACAAGTGGAGCCAGAGCCAAATGTGTGTTATATTGTGTGCAGTTGTGAGACATGACGAGCTTCACCTTGGGCGGGCTGCCATTCTCCTCGGGGGTCGGAGGCAGGGATAAGCTCTTGTTGTTGGCGGAGGGCGGATCGGCGTGGTAGTCATTGTAGTTCCGGAAGCAGCAGAAGAAAGGGCTGAAGATGCTCCGGCTGCGATGCTTCTTGAGGCTGCTGTTGGACTGGGACACTGCAAAACACAATTCAGAAAAAAAAATGGTTGAATAGGGAAGAGACAGATTCACTTTCTGTTGTTGTATTATGTAGACAGGAGGGCTGAGAAACAGTGAGACGTCAGGCCGGGAGGCGAAAAAAAACTCATATAATATGAATGCACTGCAGGGAGGTTGGCCTGCTTAATTAACATCAAGAAAGTAAAAAAACATGTAACACTGGTGCATACTAAACCTATTCCATGAACAGAATAGACACAGTAAAATAATTTGTATTTGTTGTATTTAAGTTACATTTTATATAGAATATCGGAAAATAAACAATATAAGGCTCTAATTTCGGCTGTTAATCTTGAGTATTATCTTTCAGTCAATTGCATGATCTTAGTCAAACAACATTTTTTCCAGTAAACGATAATTCATTATTTAAAAGGTATATATGAGGTTGTCCCCCAATTTTAGGAAAGAACCACCCTCTTCAGAGCGAACAGCTACTAAAACGTGTCACCAGAATGATTGACAAAACAGCTATTTTTAAATCTTTATTCATTTGAACAGAGTCTTAGCCTGCGTTTAAATTCAATAAATTGCACAGGACTATCGTAAATACCATTCTTCTGACAAACACGCTAAGCTCAAGGGAGAACATATAGGTCTCAGCTAAAGCTTACATCATCCCTCTTCACTCTCTCTCAAGTGCCCTACTTTCTGTGGAACTCTGACATAAGCATTGCATCGAGGCGGTTTGCATTTGCTTTTTCCATTGGGATCCATTTGACTCCTCACAAATGTTATTTTAAATCCAGACACTTAATTTGTGGGGAGGTAATTGAGAAGGTTTGGGGCTTTGAAGTGTCCTCCGCGCCCACTCGGGGGTTTGGCATCTTGATAGGAGACTACTTAGGATGTTCCCTGGATGTGACAGGCTGCTGGCGCTTCCTCGGCTTTGTTCTCCGTAGCTTTTGTAGTGGTGGTTTCTCTATTCTCATTTTCCAGGCCAGAAATGTGTTTGTAATATTCAAAACTATTCATGGGGTTTCCGTCACATCAGCAATCAAGCTATTCAAATCCATTTTATCTTTAGAACGGGAGAAAGGTCCTCACAAGGTCCTTCGAATCAGTAACCATTCTTTTAGGATGATGCAATGTGGCAATTTCCATACATTATAAATAAGTACTCACGATATTACATTAAAATCAACATACACATTGGCAAAACACATACAATGACATTGAAATTTCCCCACTGTGGGACAAATAAAGGACTATCTTATCTCTTGACATTTGATCGTAAAGGGTGAAAGTAGTTGAGTTAGACAATGAGAAACAGTGCAGTTACATACAAAATAATTCATAACTTATAAGAAAACATAAATCGTTTGTCCACTGCGCTCTCAAAAGAAAGAATGCCTGAAGTAAGAGACTATTTTCTTCAGACATTTCTATTACTCGAAAGCTCCTTAGCAACTGTTGCCATGACCAAAATGGAGACGCACACACACAAACACACAGCGGAGACTTGTTATTCATTTGATTTGTCCATCTGTATTCATCATCACATCCAGCCATAATGCAATCATTTTAAAGCTACGTCTCAAATAAAAGCATGGTCTTCTGTTGGAACATTTTACCCGGACCAAATGCTTGTTTTTGATTTTATAAATATCAAAACTATTAAACTGGAAATACCTTAACAGTGGCCTCTTCAAGGTTTTTATAATTAAATTCAGGATTATATAATTGATCGACTCAAACCCACAACTCAGCCTTGTCTACAGGCTGTGTAATGAAAATATCACACGTAATAATATAAAATCCAATGGGAATAGTCCACAAATAAGGGAAATTACATTCTATTTTAAGTGATTTTTCTTATATAGCACCACCTGCAACACACAGGTGGCTTTGTGTTTGCAGGAAAAATCCCAGATTTGAGTCCCAGCTGTCAATCCTCCACCTCAGATTCTCCATTTTAAGACTTTTAGCTCCTTCTCCGTGCCCGCCCCTTCCTGCTCCACCTCCTGCTCCGCACCGAGGCACCTCCCACAAAAACATAACATTTATTTTACTGCCAACAAAAACAACGCAGGAATGCTTATGTTTAGGCATAGCTTGGAATGTGAATAATCCTAAATAAAGCTAAAGTTTCAGGATATTAAACATGGTCGTACAGTATAAGCTTTTCATTCAGTCTCATTGGCTGATGTTGCTCATTGGCTGGTGGAAAGCTATATATAGAGAACTGGATGACAAAATAAAATAAAATCAACTATTGACTGATTATTATTTGCTTCATGACATACACATTAATTTGTATTGTATTACATGTATAGTATTTACAATACTTTAATATAAAACTTTAAGACCGAACTTTAGCCCCGAAATTTCAGCCAGGCTAATAAAACTTAGATTCAGTACATTCATATTACTGTGGATGTTCAATCACACAACACAACACAACAAAACGCACAGGCCCAACCACCCTCTGACCCTACACCTCTCTCCCACTGTCTCCATGCATTTCTTCAGGATTTCCATTTTAACCGTTATTTAAATTGTAACTAGTTTGCACGTTTTTAATTTTACCCGTTAATCCGTTCCAACGGTTAAAGTGAAGGTCTGTTACTTTTGAAATTGTGAAGATAGAGAAACGTTTTTCCGACACAAGCGCCAGTCAGACCCGCCCCCGCAGGTTCCTGATGACCGCGATACACACCTGAGACCCCTCACTGTTGGTCTAACTATTCTCGTTCTGCCAATCATACTGGTGGTGGTTATGCAAAGGGGATAGACTGCCTTAAAACTATAGTTATTATGAAAAATACTTCAGAAATATGATACTATATGATGAGAATATGTATCCTTTTGAAAATGAAATATAATTGAAGTTGAAAAGATCCAATTTAACATCATTACCATCAGTGGTTCTTTCACCTTTAGCAAACAGAGAATAGTGAAGGCAAGTGGCTCCGTCTAAGAAAAGCTCGGGAGACAAGGAGCCGGGCAGCTCTACATTATTTACCAGTGCGCTTGATTAACGCCCTTGATCTGAGCGCTGTGAAATTAGCCTTCTCTGCTCCCGCTACACGCCTCTACAGTAAGTAACAGCCTCAGCTCGTCAATCTCTGCAGCCCTGCCTCTGTCACATGTAAGGACACAGGCTAATGGGGCCGGAAGACGCCAAAAACACAGGAAATTCTCCACATTCCTGACAGGAAGAGATAATCGCCCCGTGACCCGCAGTGTGCACCCTTTCCATGCTCTGAGCGGGAACACGATCTGCTCTTTAGCTCAAGATGTTTGTGGAGGCCCCTCGACTGAAGCTTTAACAGAACAGAGAGTCAAAACAGAGACAGAGGGCCAGTGTTAAATATAGTGCAATGGCCCTTTATGGTAAGAACTGAGGGTGAGACTTGTTTTCACATTTTAAGGAAGAAACAGTATTGGGGACGTAATTAACACAAGAAGTAATAAATACATTGATTACAAATGTCCCAAACAATAGAGACCGATAGATAGATACTTTATTGATCCCCGCAAGAGAAATTCAGGTGAGATGCCACGTACCACAAATTTTTGACTTGAATAAGACAATTAATGAATGTAATATACATAGCAAAGGCCATACAAGTGGTTTTTTTAACCCTAGATTGAAAACATAAACACACATTAAAGCTGGGGAACCTTACTTTTTTCTCATAAATAACCCGTGTTGTTTGTTCTGACTGAAAGTTGTGAACAAATTTGACCAGATATCCATGCTGTCTATATCTATGCTATCTATTTTGTATCATTTTAGATAGAGTCGCTATTGGATGCGTTAGGGTGAAAGCTGATTGGCTGATTGAGGGGGGGGTCCTCTCTTTTCTCTCTTCTAAGGGCAGTTATTTAACATTAGATAGATAATAATTGTACTTGGACGTAATGAACTGCAAAAGTGTGATTGTGTGAGATAGGACATGGCTGATCATTATCATACAGAAAGGTCTTCTTGTTCTTCCATATCTTGGGCTGAAAGTACCAGGGACATTGTCTACATAAGTGTATGCATAAGATAATACTAGATCAGCGGAGACACACTTTATCATGTCACGACAAACGCAGATGCAATGGCCCTGAACTAGATAGACAATGAAACACACATTCATTTGAAACCTCCCAAGAAAGAGTATGAGTCCAGTTGATGAATATGTTCTAAAACCCATGTATAGGGTTCTTATACTGGTAAGGTATAGTCAATTATTAAAGTATTATTTTGATATATAAATTATGTGTGTGTTTGTGTTTTTATGATACAGAAGTTTTGAGTTTTTTCAACAATCGGCCATTCCCTATTGTTTACACACTATTGATTTTTTCTCACCCTGCTACTAAACAGATGTCATCAATCATCACACAACAACAAAATAAAATACATAAGTTTTCAATTCAATTCCAGGTCTGTAAATTTGTCAGAAAGGGAGAGGCAGAGGTGGACACGACTGGATGCACGGTGCAACCTAAGCCGTCGGCCATTCCGCAGCCCTCCAGGAGAGAGACGCCTTTGTGCGACTGCTAAGTGGCAGTTGGCTGAGCAGGTAAAGCAGGCAGTTCCTGGGGGGTATATACAGGTGAATGTGAGAATGCGCTCCTTCAATAATTCAGACGGAAAACAGACCTGGTTTAAAGAGCTTGACCGAGCACTTAATATACAACGCATTACAAGTGCGACTGCCTTAGGTCAGCGGTATTCTGCAGTGCATAATGACTATATCTACAGCCTGAAGTTGGTGAGGGTGAGGGATGAAGGGGGTGGGGTGGGGGGCACACAATTTCACAGATTATTTGCCTCCACCCTTCGCAAAGAATGGGAGGGGAGGGTTGTGCATGTAAAGCAGGACCAGCTGTCTGTGGCTTATGTAAGTGCATATGAGATAACGCTGACTTACTTGGAAGCAGATTTAAGTTTTAAAAAAAGAGGGAAAAAAGCTATTGTGCAATGAAAAGGACAGATAGCGCGCTGTTCCCCTGCAGACAA